AGGAGGAACAGGGGAGGGAAGGGAGGAGGAGGAGGAGGAGGGGGAGGAGCAGGGAGGAGGAGGGAGGAGGAGGGAGGAGCAGGGAGGAGGAGGGAGGAGCAGGGAGGAGCAGGGAGGAACAGGAAGAGGAGGGAGGAACAGGGAGGAGGAACAGGGAGGAGCAGGGAGGAGCAGGGAGGAGCAGGGAGGAGGAACAGGGAGGAGCAGGGAGGAACAGGGAGGAACAGGGAGGAGCAGGGAGGAGCAGGGAGGAGGAGGGAGGAGCAGGGAGGAGCAGGGAGGAACAGGGAGGAGGAGGGAGGAACAGGGAGGAGGAACAGGGAGGAGCAGGGAGGAACAGGGAGGAGCAGGGAGGAGGAACAGGGAGGAGCAGGGAGGAGGAGCAGGGAGGAGGAACAGGGAGGAGCAGAGAGGAGGAGGGAGGAGCAGGGAGGAGGAGGGAGGAGCAGGGAGGAGGAGCAGGGAGGAGGAACAGGGAGGAGCAGGGAGGAGGAGCAGGGAGGAGGAACAGGGAGGAGCAGAGAGGAGGAGGAGGAGCAGGGAGGAGGAGCAGGGAGGAGGAACAGGGAGGAGCAGGAGGAGGAGGGAGGAGCAGGGAGGAGGAACAGGAGCATGGAGGAGTAGAAATATGAATGACATTACATTCAGTAATCAAGTAAGACATGAATCATCATTGTCTAATCATCTGATTGATAAATAACTTTATACATATATAAATAATGATATAAAAACAAACAAAGGATCATAAATGATGAGATAAGTCGAAACAAGTTAACAAATGCAGTTCATCTGATGATCTGGACTTTTGAGGTAAAGATTGCTAATAAATGAAAGATAACATTCCACCATATTGAACAGCTCATTTTTATATTTTACTATATTCAATTCTTTGGTTATTTTTTGTAACCTTATTTGGTTATTTAACCTCTCTGCAAATATAGAATAGAAGTACAAATAAAACATGTCCTTACATTAAGAAACTCACTACTTTACAACAATGATCCATTCATTGATATACATTAGGAAGAGTGCAGATGAGTGCAGCTCCATCATTGAATGTATTGCCCTAGGAACAGGAGATATACATGTTTTCAGAAAGCTATGTTTGCTATAGAGCTTATTGTCTGCAATATTCAAAAAAAGCTTTTTCTCGAGGGAGCCCTTGTGATGCTAACTTCTGGGTCGGCATAGAAAAACACATCATTACCACTCTGTTGTGTTTCTTGCAGTGCAGGTGGCATTAAAACCAATAATCTGATCCAAAATATGAACCTTTCCACCTGTTCAGACCTCTGAGAAATGATGAACCAGATATAGCCATGCAGGCCTCACCTTGCTGTCCGTCTGCTCCCTGATGTGAGCAGGAACCTTGCTCTGGGAGTCCTGCTCCTGCTGTCTGAGGAGGAGCTGCTCCAGCTTTGGGAGGAGTCTGTCTCTGCGCAGGGACAGCTGCTGCACCTGTTTGTCCACGTCCACTCCACTCTGAGGACAAACTGTACGTTACACATCACCACGCCAACCTTCATGTCAGCCAGTGCTTACAGTACATTCATCTCATTCTGGTTTGCATTTGAAGTTCAGGTCACACACACGAAAATATTGGCCAATGTGTTTGATTATTACACGGCTTGGATGAATACTTGATTCTTATTGGTCAATTTGGACATTGCAGAGGTTGTTGATTATCGCTAACAGACTGCTAAGGAGAACAGAGCGTTGTTAAGAAGGATGCTCTTATCAATGGACTATGTGCAGTCATACCTAACAACAGGAGGAAGCTTAGGATGTGTGATGGCTAAACTCTCGCCAGTAAAGAAAAGAAAAAGAGTGAAAGAGATTCAAATACGAGCACTGGACGTCAGAGAAATCCCCAGAAGAAAACATTCGAAGCTGTGCACAGTGGAACAGAATATTTGTTCTTGGAGGAAGCAATAAGATTATTTTTAAATCAATATTGTGAGTCAAGTGGTTGATTCCTCCATTATGTAGCCGTGTAATAAGCAGGGTAATGTGCAGCGTGGTGGTCCTTATTAATAAAGAGAAATCATTAACGACCGCCTCGCTGCACATTATCTCTTACTTCTTTCTTCTTCATCATTTCATTAAAGGTAGGGTAGGTAAGTTTGAGAAACCGGCTCGAGATCGCAAGAATTTGAAAATACACAGCCGGAAAAAATCTCCCACTTCCTTACAGAGCCCCTCCTCCAACACACACGAACGTGCACATGACCAATGAGGGCACGAGATAAGTTTGTGCACAGATGGAAGGCTGACAGGCAGGTAGGCCATCCAGTTATTTTAGCCGGGCCGGCTAAATGATTGGTCGTGCTTTATACAGTATTACGGCTTCCACAGATGACATTTTTTTATGGATTTATTGTCAAAGCACTTAAGATATTCATTGCTATCGGGATGTTAAGAGCATTCCATGGAATATAACAAAAAGTGTATCTCGAGCCGGTTTCTCAAACTTACCTACCCCACCTTTAAGATCAGAAGTGGTGCATTTGATTATCACCCTGGATATTCATTCTGTCATACATCTACACAACAGCTTTTCAATTTGATCACATTTTCAGCGCTAAATCTTTGTGTACAGTTTAGAATTAGAAATAAGTAGATTCATGAAGATGTTTCTATGTGAAGCTGATGTCTGTCTAGTATCGATGTGACTGACATGAGCTTACCGGTGGTGTGGTCAAATAAATAAATCACTTATCAATCATTGATCTTGGATGATCGATTCATTGATGATTGACTTATATCAATCGTAAATCAATCATTCATCTGAAATCATGCTTGTTTTATTATTGATTGATCGATGAGGGCGGAATAGGATTTTACTTTTACTGAATAAAAAGGATCAAAAATAGGCTATTCATCTTTTTGTCCTCCACTCTTCAGTTTGCTGACAGCTGTGAGCTTCAATATGACAGAGCAGCAGGAGGTAACACACCTGGATGTGGAGGTGTAGCTGACAGGTGTGGTCCACCACAGCCACCAGGCTGCCTGTAGGTGGGGGGGTGGAGAGGAGAGCAGGGGGGCACTCTGCTCCATCAGGACAGTGGATATGGAGGCTGGAGATACGGCATAAAGTCCAGACAGCTGATCCGAAGTGAAGCAGGACCTGAGCCTGGCTGGGGGAGCACACCGCCCACACTGACACACAGGGACACGTCAGACACCACATGGAAACACATTTATATCCAATGTTCTTTGAGTGTTTTTGTTGAAAGAACTTACTGGCAGGTTTTTCTTTGGTCATGCCACACTGGGCTCGTAGCGATCGGGCCGCTCGGATCACTTCCTGCACCAACAGGAAGTCTCTCTCCTCGTCAGGGAAGTGCCAGTGTGCCTGTCAGGATGAGAGGTTAGAGAGGAGAACACGTCAGCTAAAACACACGGAGAGTGGAGATCCAGCCAAAAACATCAGAACACAAAGCACAGATAACGTGAGTTATTATTTTCTTTTTAAAGCCCAGGAACCCCATTATAGGAATGTCCTCTAATTTGGCACACATGTTCTCTTGGACTCAAGTATGATTAGTTTAGGGGTCAAAGGTAAAGGTCACTTAGACTGCAAAAAATACATCTTTGGCCATAACTCAAGAAATCATTGCTAGTCATGACAATTTCACACAGATGTTTAATAAGGATAGAATGATGAAGTGGTCATTGTAGTCCAAATGTGGTGATGTACGCCTCTTTACATCTGAAGAGCCTCTTTGTGCTTCTCGTTTGCTGTTTGACTTTTTATCAAATGTTACCTTGGAAAGACAACATACTCATCTAAGAGAACAACTCATCTGAAGATGTGATGTAGCAACATTTATGCTAACGTTAAAGTAGCTTTATCAAGATACGCTACATTACGCTGAGTCAGCTGTCTGTGCTGTTACAGGCTCTCCATCCACATCAAATAGGTGAGGGATTAAGGTCAGACTTGAATTATAGCTACCAATATTACTACCCAATATTTAGTTCTGAAGTTACAAACATAAAAGTGAAAATATATTTTACACACTACTGTGTTTGTTATCTGTTATTATTTTAATATCATGCCTATTGTACCTCATCGTATTCCTTTAAACATGTTATATCATGTACATATGCTGTGTTTGCTATTCAAATAAAGCTTATTATTATTATTATTTTATTGTCATGATGTAAATCTGGAGTTGGATGCTTGCGTTCCTACCAGCTGGGAGGAGCGGGGGTACGGCTGCAGACACAGGGTGGGGGGGGACAGCGGCAGCAGCAGGGCTGAAGGGCTGGAGCCTCTGCCACAGCTCCTCAGTGATGAAGGGCATGAAGGGGGAGAGCAGGGCGAGAGACACGGACACACAGTGGAAGAGGACGCTGCGGACCCCCTGCTGAGCCCCCACACTCTGCTCTGTGTCCGGGGGCAGCGCCAGCACAGGCTTCACACACTCCTGCAACACACACACACACACACACACACACACACACACACACACACACACACACACACACACACACACACACACACACACACACACACACACACACACACACACACACACACAACACACACACACACACACACACACACACACACACACACACACACACACACACACACACACACACACACACACACACACACACACACACACACACACACACACACCTTTGAGACTGAGCACCATGTATAATGCTAACAATACAGAGGGAAAAAAACGAATGCGTAATTCTAATCGGTCTTTTTGATGTTGATGATTAGTGTAACCGTAATACAGTTGATCAGGAATGAGTCCTAAAACACGGAAATGAGTCAGCATTTAATCACTCCCCTGTCTCCCCCATGTGCTTTGTTTTCGTCTGTGCTGTACACAAGCTTGAGAGATTTTCACTTATTGTTCTGTGACAATAAAATATGTTGATAAATACCCCACTGGTGAATGTCCGAAGCATGTCATGTGTCTTAAAAACAGCCAACAAGTGAAAACATTTGCCAATTAATCGCCATCACACGTAGGGCGGTGGTGGCTCAGTCCGTAGGGACTCGGCCTGGGAATTGGAAGGTTACCGGTTCGAATCTCGGAACGACCAAGTAACTACCGAGGTGCCCCTGAGCAAGGTGCTGTCCCTACACTGCTCCCCGAGCGCTGACCTAATGGCTGCTCACTGCTCCTAACACTAGGATGGGTCAAATGCAAAGATCTAGGGCGGTGGTGGCGAAGTCGATAGGGACTTGGCTTGGCAACTGGAAGGTCACCAGTTCGAGTCCCGGCAAGACCAAGTGCTACCGAGGTGTCCCTGAGCAAGGCACCGTTCCCTACACTGCTCCCCGGGCGCCGTCCACGCCAGCACACTGCTCCTAACACTAGGATGGGTCAAATGCAGAGGAACAATTTCGTTACATAGTACCTGTACTGTGAAATGACAATAAGAGCAATTTAATTTAACGTAACATTAGCCTCCTTTAGCCTAGCGGTGGTGATATGAATTCATGTGACCGTGCTGTAGTTCCTTTTAAATTATGACTAAAATATATTTTATAAATCCCCATGGCAAAATACAGTTCTTCACTATGGTGTTTTTTACAATGACACAAATAGGCCTGAAATACACACATACACAACTTAATGGAGAGTGTCAGAGCAGGGGCTGTCAGTGTTCTGGCATTCTGAAGCAGCTGAGGTGCAGTGCCTTGCTCAAGGGCACATTGGCAGGTCCCAGGAGGCTGTCTTGCACCTCTCCAACTACCAGTCCGCACCATAGTTTGGTCCAACCGGGACTTGAACCGGCGACCAATTGGTTTGCAGGCCGAGTCCCTACAGACAAAGCTACTATCTTAACGTCAGATTTTTACTCCTGGCTATTGCATTTACCCTTCCAAAATCTAATGTGTGCAGAACACAAATCCGTCATCCCTGCACCACTGTGTGAGTTGCTCCTCACCATGTAGACGTCACACAGGCTGTGCACCCAGAAGGAGTGCAGGGCTGAGGTGACGGTGTGCAGCTTAGAGGCCTCCAGGCCCTGCTCACACTGCAGCACGGTGCTGTACAGCCGGGAGCAGACCCAGCGCTCCATGCTGCCCACTGCTGCCGTCTGAAGAGGGAGAGGGATACAGTTATATAATATACTCATATATTCAGTGTTTATACAACAAAGTGAGATGCAGTTACAATTACAAATCAAAAGAAAAGAAGAAAAAACATATTTGTATGAAATAGTTAACAGAACAAAAAACATCAATAATTCTGATCAATTGTCATATTTAACCTGAGAGTCATTAGTAATGTATTGCTTTGATACACTTGATGTTTGGTTTTTTTCAACTACATACTACAATGTAACTACAATTAGTGTTTGAACATCTTATTCATTAAAAGACAAGCATTTTACCAATAACAGCCCAAGGTTTTACATCAAAATAAGAATACAAATATAGTCCAGCTGCTGTACCTGCTCCAGTGTTGTCACTGGTGTGGAGCTGTCCCCCAGCACTCCCAGCGTGAACTTCAGCGTCTGCCACATCTTGTTACAGAAGTGTCTGCAGCTCAGGACCTCAGATATGGACAGACTGATGTCCTCTCCTGAGGAAGAGGCAGAGAAAAGGCATACACAGGGTGAAGGAAAATACAAATCCAGGAAATAATAACTTCTTCAAAGCCAAATATTGGGCTTAAGATAACATTGACATATGAACACTAATATCTAATTACATCCTCCTTGGGTCCAGGGTGACTCGTGCTAAAGTTGAAGAAATACCCTGGAGGCGTCCCTGAGCATTCAGACCAATGGGACAGCGGTGTTGTCACAGTGACATCTGACCAGAGTTGGGTGTAACACGTTACAAAGTAATAATATTACTTTTGTCGGTAACGGAGTAGTGTAACGCGTTACTTTTATAATTCAGTAATCACACTACAGTTACTAACATTGCCCCGACACGCGTTACTTCGTTACTTTTATAAAATCAGTCATAATCACACTGACAGACAAGAGGGGTTTCCGCCGCAGGTTTATATGTACGTAATCTGCGCAACTTGCGCGTCCACATCTCCACGTGCAGTGCTGCATAAACATGGCTGAGTCAGTGATAACTTTCGAGGGGTGGAGGTATGCCCATTATTTTGAGTTCGTCCGAAGAATAGACAGGAATGTGACGGTGAGGTGCAAACTGTGTCCAGGCCAGAAGCTGTTATCCACTGCTGTAAACACCACGTCAAACCTCAACAAACACCTGCAAAGAACATATGCTAAGCTGTCTTGCAAGCTTGTTGTGGTAGGCTGGTAGCCTATTTTATTAAAGAGCATATAAAAAGAAAGACTTGTGTTATGTCTTTCTTATTGTAATAGTAATTGGGGGTGCAAGTGGAGTCTCGCAGAGGCAAAACTGTGGCGCGCTTACACTGTAGGTGCGCCGCAGTCTGCGTGATCTGCCTGTAGGGAGGGGCGGGCCGGCCCTGCGAGTAAAGTAACAAGTAACGAGTAAAGTAACGAGTAAAGTAACGAGTTACTTTATGTAGAGAGTAACGAAGTAGTGTAATATATTACTTTTTTTTTTAAAGTAATATGTAATATGTAATATATTACTTTTATTTAGTAACGACCCCATCTCTGCATCTGACCACCAAAATGTAATCAAATGTCCTTGAATCCCTGGGGATGTGTGTGCCAAATGTGTAAAACATTTCCCAGGGCGTTACTGAAATATTCATTAACAAAAATGGGATGTATGTGAGATGACAGAGAATCTAATCAGTTCATAAATTCCATCGATGCGTTTCTCAGATATCACATTCTCGAGAACAAAACAAGGAACAGATGCAGCAATTGTTGGTATTAAGAAAGTGCTAAAGTTTCATACCCAGCCCTTGCCTTACATCAAATGACACACTCATTGTCCCGTGGGGGGGTAAATCCACCAGGCACAGAGAGGACTAACCAGAGACATGTCACATGGCAGAAACACTGTGTATCAGGCTCTTCCTACATCCAGGACATGGTTAAACCATACACTCCAGCACGTGCACTTCTCTCTGCATCGACCAATCAGCTCGCTTCTCCCTTACTGTAGGTGGGACCGAGGTAGCCCCCAATAAAAACATGCCTGCTTGCTATCCTGGCTGAAAATGGTGTAATGAGCTTCCCTTTACTATCAGGACAGGACAAAGTCTACACATCTTCTGCAGCAGACTGAAAAAAAACCACCCATTTCCACTTGGCCTATAAAAAAACGTCTGTATGTGCATTGCAGTAGCACATGAGCCATATGGGTACCTTCCCTCTACGTCATGGCCCCGCCCCCTTTTTTGGTGAAAACATTCGCTGTCATCTGACCGGTGGTAAATACAGATTGCGAGGTCTTTCCCAATTCAATCAAAATGTAAGGAAACCGTGCAGTTTTTTATTTACAAGGAGCCCAAATATGATGGTCAGTCAGACAGTCCATTACATGATGTCATTAGAGATCAATGAATAGGTATGATGGTGAAATTAGAAGCAATAGGGGATCGATGTCCTTTCAGTCTGACAAATGGCTAACACTAAAATAAAAGTGTTTTATATTTCCGTTCAGTTATGTGAAACATGCTGTCATCACTCTGCTACCAGGGGGCAACCAGTAAGTGTTAACCATCACAACCCATCATATCTTCCTTCCATGCCCAGTCACACAGCTCCACACACTCATCCTCCCCCCGTCAGATAACGTGTGCAGAGTCACTCACCCTGCATCTTGTGAGAGCAGAGGGCGAATCTCAGAGCATCGGTCCCACACTGAGGGATCCCTCTGGGGAAGTCTTTCCTCTGTGGGAAAGCAGATGGGAGAGACAGATAAGAGAGGAAGTAATGAGTGTGCTCAGTCAGCCACAAAAGAACAGATCGCTGACCTGCGCTTCCATGGAAACCAGATGCTCCCGGGGCTCCAGGTTTCCCTCCTGCACTTTCTCTTGAAGTCTCTGCGAGGAAACAAACAAGCAAATGTCTTCAGAGGGAGTCTGAACAGACGGCTGACTCAGCGGGGGGGGTTCCTGCTTACAGCTGTCTTGTCACCTCACAACAGGAAAGGATTCATCTTCTCACATCCCAGAGATTACACTCCAAGGATCAGTTATTGTCATTCTGCACCACAGGGTCGCACAATTAATGCAGCCGATGCAACACAAGAAAAACATGATGAAGCCTTAGTTTGAGACTTAATCTGTTATTATACTGCAAACATAATAGTGTGGTGCTGGCAGCTGATAAAGACTTACAAAAAGATTGATTGAGTTTTGGAAAGTAGAAGAAAACTCTTGTTTTTTAACAATCAAATGCCTTTATTGTAATGACATTGTCATGTTAGTCCTAAAAACGAATTCCTTGGGGATGTGCTGGAAAAATAAAGGAATGTTGGCTGGGTGATACTTCCTGTGAAAGGAAGGAGGAAGACAACCCTTCGAGGATAGGCCTTTTTACATTTATCTAGTAGAGGTTCAAATCTCCATTCATCTGAGCCAAGAGGAATCGGAGGCGGGGCTTAAGGAAAACTCAAGTGCACATTCCCTATGGACCTGGATGATCCGGATACTTTTTTAATCTAGTCAGTCCATTTAGGGCTTTATGCGCCACTGAGCAACTCTCATAGGAATGAACGGTGCCCCGCCTTCAACGCTGTATCCAGTTCTCTTTATACATCCATGGTACAGATGCCTATGTACCTTGTCATTATCATTTAACATCCACAATAGTTTTGTAGCGAACAACAGGAGGAGGGAGGTGTGTTTCTTACAACTACTTTCAGTTTCTGTTCATGCTGATGGTGGAAGAATTTACAATGGCTTTTTGTTCTCTCAAAAACAGGAAGAAGGCAGGTGGATGTAAGGGTGTGGTGGATATGTGGTGTTTTCAAAAACACAGAATATATGACCTTAGACTGTTAAAGTTGTTCTGTATATTGATTGAGATAACTAAACAGAACATGTCCACCTCCTGGCCCTTCAGAGGTAGACATCAGCAGGTCATGAACAGTACCACAGAGTAGCAGGCCCACCTACCTCCAGAGAGACCCCATGTATCACATCTAAAGGGTCGATGACATTTCCCAGAGATTTACTCATCTTCCTGCCATGCTTATCTCTCACCATAGAGTGGAAGAGAACCTGAAAGGCATGATGGGAACAGGAAAGAGATTCAGAGGAATTCAGGCAAAACAACTATTTATGTTTAAATAGAAAGAGCATGGTTTCGGTTCAAATGGACCCTTTTATGGCAGAAACGAATAAATGCTATAAGCTCCTGTGTAGGACCAACAGTGATAATAATAATAATAATAATATTTGTTGTATAACCTCTGTATTTTCTGGGTGTCTCCTCCTCCTACCTGTTTAAAGGGCAGCTGTCCGGTCAGCTCTGTGCCCAGCATCACCATCCTGGCCACCCAGAAGAAGACGAGGTCACTGCCCGTCTCCAGGAGGGAGTTGGGGTAGAAATGCTGCAGGTCAGGGGTCTGTGGGAGGGGAAGGTGTTATAACAAGCAGGGGGGGGGGGCTGTATACTGAGGACTGTGATCTGCTGAGAGGAGGTGCAGTACCTGCTCAGGCCAGCCCAGCATGGCGAAGGGGAACAGCCCCGAGGAGAACCACGTGTCCAGCACATCTGGGTCTGACAGAGTATGCAGATGTTAGTGATGAAGGAATACATCTGTATGTTATCATAAAGGTCAGAACAGAGCAGCAACTCTGTATATCAAATCAAACTTTAGGGAATATCATACTAACAGATTACCCAAATGTAGCTCAACCACCAATTCTTATATTCACTTCCAATAGTTCCATCAACCAAAGATATAAAAAACAGATGTTCATGATTTTGGTTCATCTTTAAAATGTTTATGCTTATAGTAAAATGTATTATGATCTATAAATGTATGTTTCTTTTATTTTTATTTGAAACATCTGGTACTGTACTATCATTTCAGCACTTGTACATGACTTCTATTCTAACCTTGAGACTTATACATATATTTATATTAAGCATGCAGTTTGTAGTTATTTCGCAATAAGTTTTGAGGTCTTTGACTGAAAACGATGTATTTGAATACAAAACATATTTTATTATAACCTTTCCGCTTCAAATTACTTTGTTTCCTTGTACTTTGATTAAATAAATTAATATTGAATTAGTTAGATAAAAAACATATATATATATAAATATCTGTAGTAAGTTCAATAAAATCAATGAAACAATGTATGATAGAAATAGTTGCAGCACAGCAGTGTTAGTAGTCGTAGAATTAGATAGCAAAAGCAAAAGCTAATATATTAGCAGGAGCAGCTTAGAGCAGGCTGTGGCTCAGGGGGGGGAATGGGCATTTATCAATCAGAGGGTCACCTAACCCTGACCCTAACCCTGCAGTCAACCTGTCAGAGTGTCCCTGGGCAAGATACTTAACCCAAAATAGCTCCTGTTAATGTCTACGCTATATAAGTATATGATTGGTATAAAAGCGTCAGCTAAATGATACGGTATGTAATGTAATGTTATATAGCAAATATGGGGGTGTGTGATGGTTATTGTACATTAGGAACAGAAACAGCAGAGAGGTAGGGGTAAGAGAGGGGGGGGGGGGGGAGTCACCCTGAGTCAGAGTGATATCCTCGGGCTTCACTCCATATCTGACAGCGGCTCTTTGTCGGGCCTCGTCCTCGCTCCGTCCCCAAACCCACCGCTCCTGGCACAAAACACACACACACACACACACACACACACACACACACACACACACACACACACACACACACACACACACACACACACACACACACACACACACACACACACACACACACACACACACACACACACACACACACACACACACACACACACACACACACACACACACACACACACACACACACACACACACACACACACACACACACACACACACACACACACACACACACACACACACACACACAATCACTTCATAGTAGTATTATTCTGAAATCCTGAGGTGGAAGTAGACACAGATCCTGCACTTAAGTAAAAGTATATGCATTCAAATATACTTAAAGTACGAAAGGTAAAGTGCTCATTATGCAGGATGGCTGATTCCAAATAGTAGCATTGTATTTTGGATTGAATTGCTACTGATGTATTATTATGTTTGATGCAGCTGGTAAAGGTGGAGTCAGATTGTGAATTGACTTAATATATAACTAGTCCTAATAAATAAAGTAGCAGGAAATGGAAATACTCAAGTAAAGATACTCAAAGTTGTACTTCAGTAAATGAATTTAGTTACTGTCCAACAAAGCTTAAATGATACACATATCCACAAACACCCACCTCCTGTGTGTTTGTGGAGTCAGGGAGCTGCACTTGGTAGGCGGGGATCTGATGACCCCACCAGAGCTGCCTGGAGATGCACCAATCACTGCGGGGCAAACAGAGCAACATTGTTGACAAGCAAAGAGCTCATTCATCAGCACAGTGGTGTCACCTCACACACACATCCCAGCAAAACACACCGCCATTGTCCTACTCTGGGCTAACACATGGATTTGGAGTCAAAGGTCAAAGGTCAGTACCTGATGTTGGACAGCCAGTTCCTCCAGGTCTTGCTGTAGTAGTGAGGGACGATCTGCAGCTGCCCGTCCTCCACAGCCTGACAGGGACATGGGACACTTTCACCAATGTGTACACCAAGGATGAGGTCACATGACTATTCATTACTATATTAACTAAAGTGTTTTTCAACCTTTTCTGAACCAAAAAAGATACAAAATGAAACATTTCCGTTCTTTCTTTCTTTTGACCACCACCCATACTAGGCTCCATCTGGGTTAGAATTTTGTCGAGGGTCCAGTTCAAAGTCTTTTCAAATATTTATCCTTGCTATTCATCTTGTCACCGGAACCTCTCCTGAATCACTTAACTCTACTGTATTATATCAACAAAGTCATATTGTGCTACCTACTGCCACCCACTGGCATTGAAGAGTATTTCATTACTTAACCAGTCACTACGCTCAACATTGGCAAAGTATTTGCAGCAACTAAATAAAAAAAGTGAAATGTTGCAATTTCCCACGTGACATTCTCTCACGGTTGAAAATCACAGATTTACATGACGGGGCATGACATGAAAACCTGTGATACGAATAAAAAAAGAAAAATGGCATACATAAAGTTTGACCTCACTAAGCACCTCCTCCAGCTCACCTGGATAGCCTGTTTTGCCATTTCATCACAGCTGATAAACCACTGCTTCTTCAGAAGAGGTTCAATGATGTCTCCTGAGCGGCTGACACACGGAGGGAGGAAGGAGAAGAAGGGACTTAAAACTACGTTTTTGTATGCAGTGTGTATTGCAGTGGGTAGGCCAGTGTGTGTGTGTGTGTGTGTGTGTGTGTGTGTGTGTGTGTGTGTATGCAGTGTGTATGCAGTGGGTAGGCAGTGTGTGTGTGTGTGTGTGTGTGTGTGTGTATGCAGTGTGTATGCAGTGGGTAGGGCAGTGTGTGTGTGTGTGTGTGTGTGTGTGTGTGTGGTGTGTGTATGCAGGGTGTATGCAGTGGGTAGGCAGTGTGTGTGTGTGTGTGTGTGTGTGTGTGTGTGTGTGTGTGTGTGTGTGTGTATGCAGGGTGTATGCAGTGGGTAGGCAGTGTGTGTGTGTGTGTGTGTGTGTGTGTGTGTGTGTGTGTGTGTGTGTGTGTGCAGTGTGTATGCAGGGTGTATGCAGTGGGTAGGCAGTGTGTGTGTGTGTGTGTGTGTGTGTATATGCAGGGTGTATGCAGTGGGTAGGCAGTGTGTGTGTGTGTGTGTGTGTGTGTGTGTATGCAGGGTGTATGCAGTGTGTGTGCAGTGTGTATGCAGGGTGTATGCAGTGGGTAGGCAGTGTGTGTGTGTGTGTGTGTATATGCAGGGTGTGTGCAGTGGGTAGGCAGTGTGTGTGTGTAGTGTGTATGCAGGGTGTATGCAGTGGGTAGGCAGTGTGTGTGTGTGTGTGTGTGTATGCAGTGGGTAGGCAGTGTGTGTGCAGTGTGTATGCAGGGTGTATGCAGTGGGTAGGCAGTGTGTGTGTGCAGTGTGTATGCAGGGTGTGTGCAGTGGGTAGGCAGTGTGTGTGCAGTGTGTATGCAGGGTGTATGCAGTGGGGTAGGCAGTGTGTGTGTGTGTGTATGCAGGGTGTATGCAGTGGGTAGGCAGTGTGTGTGTGTGTGTGGTGTGTATGCAGGGTGTATGCAGTGGTAGGAAGTGTGTGTGTGTGTGTGTATGCAGGGTGTATGCAGTGGGTAGGCAGTGTGTGTGTGTGTGTATGCAGGGTGTATGCAGTGGGTAGGCAGTGTGTGTGTGTGTGTGTATGCAGGGTGTATGCAGTGGGTAGGCAGTGTGTGTGTGTGTGTATGCAGGGTGTATGCAGTGGGTAGGCAGTGTGTGTGTGTGTGTATGCAGGGTGTATGCAGTGGGTAGGCAGTGTGTGTGCAGTGTGTATGCAGGGTGTATGCAGTGGGTAGGCAGTGTGTGTGCAGTGTGTATGCAGTGTGTAGGCAGTGTGATTGTGCAGGTCATTTATTTGTTCCTTATCTTTGTCTTTGAGTTACCGTGGTAGTTGAGGGAGGTTCCTTCTTGATGGAGCAGAAGGCACATGAGGATGAGGGCTACTTAATACTGGAAATAGTCACTTAAGCCAAATTGAGCCAACCCACGTGCTGCCATATCAAGGGTTTGAGCTTCATTGACTTGTTACAGTGTTTCCATGTTGGTTATACCTAGTCTGCTATTTGGTTTGGCCATGCCACTGTATAGGTTATCTCATGTGTCATTGTGGTAGGTTGTTTTGTTTAGTTACTGTTATATTTATTAGAGTTATTTACTGTTGACATCTTTTATAGCTAGTAAGATTGTTGTTTTATAATGTTTTTTGTTTTTTTGGGTAAAGAAAAACCCAGTTATCTTTAAACAACTCCTGTCCTTGTTACCTCAGTGCTTAGTCCCTTACAATGACCCTGTACTGTCCTCTTTGTGCTATAAGATGAAAAACAGCTGTTAAAGTAAGCCTTAGTATTAAGAGAAGCTGAGATATTTATGCAAACACAGAAAGTTAGAACAAGCCTGGTGTGTGTGTGTGTGTGTGTGTGTGTGTGTGTGTGTGTGTGTGTGTGTGTGTGTGTGTGTGCGTGCGTGCGTGCGCATGCGTGCGTGTCCCTCTACCTGCAGACGGGTAAAGTCATGGCGTGGTTCTTCTTTCCTCTGAACAGCTTCCTCTCCACCAGAGCGTCCACCACCATCTGCCTGGCATCGAAGCGCTTCACTCCCTGAGAGGAGACCAGGTGACACAACAGAAAGTCCAGCAGTGTTTACAGGACCCTGAGACAGCTGGCACACATGAGTCATTTCTCCTCAACACGTTACACAGTTATACCACAGATAATAACATAATAGTAACAGTGTGTTCAGCACCTGCAGCCACTGTCCGCAGGCCGTCGTCATGTTCCCGTCTCCACCAATCACAGTGAGGCGTGGCAGTGAGTGTCTCTGTGACAACAGGAAGTCAGTGTGGTCATGAGCGGGGGTCACCTTCACTGCACCTACATCACACACACACAGAGAAGTCCAGTTCACTCCATCAGACTGTTTGGGTTCAAGTATTGAAGATAAGAGCAGCAGTCGCTTTTAGATGATGTCGAAAACAGTTACTGGCTCACATTAAACCAATCAAATCAGTTTGTGCAATTAGAGGAGATCTGAATGAGTTAAATTGCAATAAAATATGTTGATACATATATAAACATATAAGCCTTATTTAATGTCGGGAAAAATACAACGGTAAGATCCAACATCCTGTATTTAAATATCTTAAGCAAATAAATAAATATTAAAAATAGATATTATATTCATATGACTATAATTGTCATTTATTTTGATGCTTTAGCAACAATGTTTCCTGTTACTTTGAACTGGTATTAAACCTAAAGCTGCAAATGAAAACATATTTAGTTGAGATACACAGATTGAGTCAAATGTACTTTTATTTGTGACTGACTGGTTGCTGATAAGGTCAAATCATTGTTTCCCATCGGTTCAGTGTTACAGGAAAAACTCTGCCATGGAATTGGAACAGGTTTTTTTCCTAGTTTAAGTTACTATAGTAACTAAGCTTGAACTATTTACAATTGGCTTTATAGAACCAAATCCACTGAGAATGATTCAGACCGGCTGAAATAAGCCTGGCTATTGTGGTTAACTCTTTATGGAAGGGGCCCGAGGTGGACTAGATGACAGGAACAGCTTCAGTGTGATGTACCAGCTCAGCGTGTGATTCTGTGTCTGACTGCAGTGTGTCTCACCAGTTCCCAGCTCCATGTCCACCAGAGGGTCAGTGATGATGGGCAGCAGTCTGCTGGTGAACGGGTGTCTGCACTGCTTCCCATGAAAGGCCTGGAAGTGGACAACATGGAAAGATGTATTGTTTTTGTTTTGATTTTTAAATAACAGGTGCTACATTGTGCTTTCAACGGAGCTCAAGCTATATTTATTATTTTTGGTGGTTATACTTGAAGGGTTATTCCACTTTATTACAATTTGGGTTTTTTTTGGTGTATTTTTTATCATTTCTCTTGGTGTAGGAAGTCAGAGGCATCCCGGTAAGGTGAAAGATACATGAGCATTCAGAAGAAATGTCCCTTCTTTTAACAGGAAGACTAAGAGCACACAGCTACAAAAAGCACATTATGTCAAAGGTGTAGCAGCACTACTTGTGTATGCTGTTCTTGAGTTGTTTTCAACTTTGATCACCTGACTTTGACTAAACTCCCAGATATTAATCCAACGTAATACTTAATCAGTACAAAGGAGTCATTCGATTTCAAACATTGCCAAATTGCAAGATAGGACACTGCCTCCTAGTGGTGAACACTTTAATAAACACTATATCACTGCGGCAAGACACAAAGCAAACAACACATGATTCATTATAAATCTGAGATTTTAGACTGTACATTTTTACAGTCTGGCTCATTTGGGTGGGGAAAGTCTGATGCAATACATTTGTAAAACATATATACAGTATTGATTTCCTTATATTGCCTCATAAGTATTCATATAACCCTAACCCTGCAACATACAGGGTCGACCTACAACAAAACGTCATCACTGCACCACTCTATTCCCAGAGTCGGACTCAGCCTTATTAAAACCTCCATTAAACTGGCACTAGCCTGGTAGCGAGGGTCTTCAGGGTGAACAGCTACAGCCACATCCCCCAGCATGGTCTCAGGACGGGTGGTGGACACCGCCACTTCTCCATCTGAAATACAGGGACGAGGGATATTAGAATAGGACATAAAGAGACAGTACAACATGAATCAGCTGTCACTAAGACTCACCGTGGCCTTCTATGGCGTACGCAAAGGTGAGCATGGTTCCAAACTCCACCTTGTTGTCATAACCAGGGACACACAGCAGGGTGGGGCCACTCAGATCTTTGGAGTCAACCTGACAGCAAACACACATGTTGGTTATTACATTAGGGGAATACCCAACAGAATGAGCTTTCTAAAACCTTGCAATAGGTGGAGGAAATAAGAGACATGCTTGAGAAGTGCGTCAAAGTTTGAAAATGATACTACAGTGAGTGGGTTCCACTCCTGAGACCTGGGATCATTTCCGGCATCCCCTCTATCTCCCCACTGTATCTCTAATAAAGGCACTCTCTGGCTCCAAAAATATATATTTGTTTTATTATGAAACTTGGCTGTCATTGAAAATCTATTACTGTGCATGTCAATCAATGACGATTAATATACTTTAAAGATGTATATTTTAACTGTCTATAAAATATTCTCTTTTTAATCAATTTGTTTTTGTGTATGATATAACTTTTGAAGACTTTTTTGGGCCACCGGTGCCGTTATTCAAGAGACAGTGTATAAATGGGGAGCGGGGATGACAAGCGGCAAATGGTGCAGGACTGGATTGGAACCAGGTCCTCTGCATTCATTGAGAGCCTTATTTGTTTTCCTTTTATCTGCTGGTTCCAAAGCCTGACACTGAAAGACAGGAACAGCCTGAACAGCATTTGTAAAACCTGCTCTAAGGTCATCGGAGTGAAACAGAGAGACTTAAACTCCTTCTGTAACCAACAGATTCTGTGGAAAGCAGCGAGCATTCTGAACTCTCCAGGTCATGTTCTTCAGATGAATTTCATCTGATGCCATCAGGGCGTAGATATGCTCTACCTGCTCTTAAGACTAATCGCTTTTCAAAATCATTCATCCCCTCTGCACTCAAACTTTGAAATGCTTAATAGGTTTTTTGACTTGATTATTTATTTACCTATTTATTGTGATGCTATGAACTATTTATCGTGTAAATTGGAATGATCCACATCCAGGCTCCCAGGTGTATCCATGTGTGTTCTTCCTGTATGTTCCTGCTGGTGTACGTGACATAAGCTGCTCATAACCAATTGCACCTTGCGGGATTAATAAAGTTGTTGATTGATTAATTGATTGATTGATTGAAGCCTGAGTACAAATGTAAAGTTTTCTTCCCATGTGTGTCTCCATTATTTCCTCCTATCCTGTTGTAATAACTGTACATCCAGGTGAAGAGGATCACCTCGATGTCTGAGATGGCCGACTCCAGAGCACAGCTCCAGTTGACCAGAGCCTCAGAGCGGTAGATCCTCCCCGAGTCAGCCAGCCTGACGAAGGCCTCGCTCACCGCCCTGCTGAACACCTGAGGGGGCAGAGAGGTTCAGGACAGACTGCTCACAGTCACACTCTAGACATGTATTATTTATTCTAAGAGCCTAATCTTCACTCCATACATCCAATAGAATATGTCAATACACTGAAACATGCAAGGAGATATTTATTATAATTATAAACCGTACAAATGTTTGTCAATGTATATGAATGCACCGAATACTAACTGTTAAAGCACTGCAATACACTACTGTCTTTGAATGTCTCAGCAGTCTCCTGATGCACCTTTAACTGCTGATCTGTGCTTTCCTTCAGCTTGCACAAATGACCAATGGCACAATGAATCACACGTTTCCAATGCAGATGTTTTGTGTACCTTCACAGTTTGCTGCAGTTAGTACAATGTACGTATAGTAATATATCACTTTATGTCATCAAACATTTAGTTTGAGTTGGTCTGTAAAAGTGTTTTGTAAATGATGTTGAATGATTAATATGGTGTAGTCTATGGATACTATATAGATATTTATTATTTTATTGCAGGTATGATTATATGTACTGTTAATGTTTTGTTTTTTATATTTTCATGTTCAATTCCTAGTTGACATGCTGTTGTAACAAACATTTCCTTATTTGGGATGGACAGCATACAGTATATCTAATCCATTTTACCTACTTAATCCTTTATCTCTTAACATATGACCCACTTGGGAGGGACGCTATGTTTACAATGACATCAGGAACAATCACATGAACGTGTAACACCTACAGCACTCCTTCAGGAGGTATAATAAGTGTGTGTTAGATATGAGTGTCCTCTTACTGGGTCCATGGTGAAGCAGGCTCTGCTCCAGTCCAGAGAGGCTCCCAGACTCCTCAGCTGCTGGTAGATCTCCTCTCCCCTCCTGCACATGCACACACACATGCACACACACACACACACACACACACACACACACACACACACACACACACACACACACACACACACACACACACACACACACACACACACACACACACACACACACACACACACACACACACACACACACACACACACACACCACACACACACACACACACACACACACAACACCACACACACACACACACACACACACACACACACACACACACACACACACACACACACACACACACACACACACACACACACAGCTCAGAGATGACACCATGTTGAGACACAGGGGGGGAGTGATGGTGAGAGGGGGGGACTCACTCGTTCTTCCATTTCCACACCTCCCCTCAGAAACTCCTGCCTGGTGAAGTCCTGCCTGCGCCTGCCTGTCTCCCTCAGCAGCCCTCCTCTCCACCACTGTCTGACACACACACACACACACACACACACACACACACACACACGCTAGCATTAGCACTATAAGATAACATTTAAATACATTTTTAAAAAGACTATACAAAATCAGTATAAAACTAATCAGAACAAGCTGAAATAGAATAAGACAATATAGTACAAATATAAAGGTTAGTGCAGAGTAAGATATGATTCATTAGATTATTTCATAAAGGCAGCAACAAAAAGGAAAATACGTCACCCTTTATTTAAAATATGGGAGAGTTGCAGCAGACCTGAGGTTTCTGGGAGTTTGCTCCAGATATTTGTAGCATAATAAGTGAATGCTGCTCCTCCATGTTTAGTTCTGACCTTTAAACTTGATGTATCCTTAAGCTGATAATAAGCTGACTTTATAATTGTCTTAATGTGACTGATTTCTGACATTTCCATTGGTTTTAGTAGTACACTGACTTTGCAATTCAGTTTGTTGTTGTAGATATGTGAATCCAGATTAAAAAGAAACCTAATTCACCATCTATTAGTCAAAAAGTAAATATTCATCATGTTTAAAAGGCTTTGAGACATGTCATGACTGCTGAAGCTAATAATGACGCTTCAGCAGTATAGGGTCAATGTGCATGCTGCGACCAGCAGGAGGAGTTTAGACTTCTTAGTTGTTTTGTGTTTGTTTGAAATGTTTTTTGTTCCAGCAGCTATTGCTCAGAAGAACAAGTTGTAGCAGAGTTTCTCAGAAGCTGTGGAAGCAATGGCTATTTATTTATTTATTTAATAGTTTGTTCCAGTGGTTTTTAATGTGATGGAGCGTGGGGTACTTTTAAAAAAAGGGGCCCTATTTTGCCCTATATAGGTTTTGTGCATGTAAATGGTCTGCAAAGGCTAAAATCCCAAAGTGACTCTCCCACTGAGAGAATATTGGCCAATCACTTAAATGCCATGTGATGTACGAAGAGAAGAAGTAGTCCTACCTGTGTGGCGATGCCTGCATGGTCACAGCCTGGGACCCACAGCACCCTGTGGCCCTGCATCCTGCGCCTGGGGGACACACACTCAGTCAGAACATCAACATGACACTCCACATGCTGCAGCTGTGTGAGCAGTTACCATCGGACCAGAGCGTCCTCCACAGCCACAGTCAGAGCGTGGCCCAGGTGCAGACTGCCCGTCACGTTAGGGGGGGGGGATACACAGAGAGAAGGTCTGATCCACAGCGTGGGGCAACCTCTCCTGAGGGGCATCACAATATCACAAGTGAGAAATACTTAGAGAAACACAAACAAAATAGATTTTTTAAAAGACGGAGACAGTAATTAAATCACATGGTAAGAACTGAAATGGTGATAAAGATAAATGGCATAGTATAACTGTTCAAGCCATTATGACTTCAAAGCTCAGTTGTTTCCGTTTCCATATGGGTTTAGTAGGTCATGAGCTGAGTGCAGAATGTAAAGCATTAAGTCAGTAATACAATATTAATAGATCATATAACTTGAAAGGAAAACCCTGATAAGTAAAAACAATAAAACATTGTGGTTGTTTTCTTTTGAAGATAACGTTTTTTTTTTTAAAGGTTAACAGCCGACAAAAATGGCTTAATTTTCGAGAAGCTTATCAGATTACGAAAGGCTGAGTCCCACCGTGGGATACTGATTTTAATCATAGGAAATATTGGTATGCATAAAGGGGATCTCATTTTTTATAATTTGTGTTCTCATTCTCATCAGGGTACAGAAAGATGAAACACATTCGACACTTAATCATCAAAGCAACCAAGAATCATTCGTGTTAACAGGAAGATGTATCTATCATCTGCACACAAATGTCAGAATATAAACATGTACAGCCCAGAAAAACAAGTGGTTCATATTAAGGGATTGGAAATGTTCCTTTAGCCTTCAAGCCCCTGGGGGGGGTGAGCCAGTGTTTGATTGACTTACCTCCTTCATTGCAATACTTAAAGATATTAGTTCTCATAAACTAATACATTTGAGTGATTTAGTGTTTGTGTATTTTAGTGTGATGTTGGGTTTGTTCTTTAATGCTCACATGCTGCTCTGGACTGAAGAAGCCCTCCTTCTCCCACCACTGGTACCAGCTGGACTCCACATACTCCGGACTGTAGGAGGGGGGGAGCGGCAGGCTGGTGTCTGCAGAGAACACGCACCTTTATAAAGTCTGCAGAGAGACAGGAGACAACGTGTGCAGTGACAGGAAGTGCCTCACCTTTCTTTGTCCCCGGAGCTGTGTGAGCCGTGTACTCGATCCTCTGCTTCTCACTCCATCCCAGCACTCCGTCTTCAGCAGGCTGGAACACAAACATCACAGCTGTTGCTGAACATTGTTTACTGACAAGAGGATTGCACTGCTCTATCTACACAGCATTCATATTTGCACCATCTCTCATTTACTTAATGCAAAATGCACTTTTGTACGTCTTTTATACATGAATATGTGTCCCCGGTGTTCCAGGGAACTCACCAAGTGTCAGAAAACACAACCCTCTCTCTTTTCCTCCATACCCAAATCTCTAAAAAAGGGGCTGCAACGGATCTGATACAGACTGATACAGATTTGAACATTCTCTGACGTCAGGAACGGAGGAGCTCCGCCTATATGGCCAACTCTCCACCTATCAGGGGAATGAGAGGTTGCCGTGGCATGGTAACAGCATGGTAACAGCATGGTAACATGACGCTCGTAACTCGGCCCCCTCCTTTGCAGGGGGGCGTGGTCAGCTGCAGCGCATGCAAAGACAGGGTGGAGGAGAGCAAAATAGAGCGAAATGAGGCATGGCTAAAATGCATGATCTGTTTGGTATTTTGAAAAAGAAAACGTATAAGTATACCTTATATATTGTATGGCCCTACAATATATCATTTAAATATAGCATGATAGGTCCACTTTAAATAAAAGCACAACAAATAAATGTAATCATCACTGCTAATGTGACCCGTCATTGAGAAAAGATTACGTTGATTTTCCAAAAGTGACATCTTTAGGATAATCTCAAAATGGGCTTAGAGTACGGCCAAATTCCAACCAACCCCTACACCCTTCCTCTCCCTGCTTCCACTACGCCTCATTAAGACCCACATTTTTAATTGTTTTTAATGTTTTGTTTTTAACAGAATTGTATTTTATTTAGTTTTTTTTGTGATTTTTTTCCTTTTATTATTATTATTTATTTAATTCCCGTTTTATTCAGTCCTGCATTGTTATGAAATGTTCTTTTTAATAACGAAACGATGTGTTACTGTGGTTATGACCTGGGAAGGGGCAGTTAGTATTGTTTTTATTTGTACCTTTTCTATGTGTTTATGAAACGCTTTGAGTTACCTTTGTGTATGAAAAGTGCTATATAAATAAAGATGTATATGATTTGATTAAGGGCTGATCCAAATCAACTATACAGGAGTGGGTTAAGGTTATCAATCCCTCCCATCAGCAGTCCTACCTGATCATGTGCATCATGTGCTGTTTCTAAATGTCATGGAGCACAATGTGTACCTTGACGACAGGTGTCATGTTGATGTGACCTAGAAGGTTGCATTACAAATAAAATGGTATACCTGTGTCTGGTCATAGACCAGTGTCATTCTGAGATGTGAGTTCTGCACTAATGCATCAAGTATTAAACCCAATATCACCATATGATATGATAGATCATAATCTCTAGAGTTTCTCCTTAGTGATGAACCAGCTTTGAAAGGTCATAAACGAATACACAAACCTTTCCTACCTTACTGAAAATGTCAGAGCAAAATCAAAGGGGCGGGGCATCTTTAACATTTCTCTGTCAACTCAGTAATCATGAGAATGTATATATCTTCTTCTTTTTTTTTTTTAAATACTTATTTCCTACTTACACTGTGTTGACCTGACAGTATGGCCTCCTCCCGCTCCCGCCTCCGCTTCTGGGCCTGGGGCCGAGAGGACAGTGGTGGAGATGAGGTAGAGGATGGAGGTTTGGGGAGGGTCCCTGAACACAGCCTGGCTGCTCCTCGGTCCCCCAGCCGAGCAGTCAGGACACGACCTGCCCTCCACATCCTCAGGAACACACACACAACCACACACATAGCATGTTCATTCAGAGAACCTTGCTAATACATTATTTGAATTTGAAATAATTGTATCTGCGATGACAGTTAGTATTTAAACAGGCTTTAGGTTGACTTACTGTGCCATCAACGACCTTCTAACTGAGCCACTTCGTCATTGTAAGCCCGAGAAAGTGCATTTCTATTGTGTTGCTGACTACATATACAATTTAAATTATTGTATAATCTCGTATAATAATTGTCATTTCATATCACTTTGTTTTAATATTATAGTTTAATAGTATATTCTCAGCATGTGGATGCTGGATGCTGTTTGTTGACGGACTGTTAAACTTCACGGTGCACCCGGAAGTGACCGCTGTCCGTCTGTAAATATCTTCCCCACCACACTACTAATGCACGGAGCATCCTGTTTACTTACAAAATAAAATGTCATTTTTGTATAATGTTCACCAAATAATGCAATATTAATGTTTTCAATGCTGGTTCATTGAATATAAACTATTATGACATAACACAGTGATTTGGGGTGATTTGTATGACTCCATAATTGTATAGCAGATAATGGTTTTGACCTGAAAACATTCAACTTCCGGTTAGAGTCTGACTACACCTCCTGCAGCTGAGCTTGACTGTTGTTAGCAACATCTCAGCGTACTGTTGAACGCCTCATAATCTTCTGGTCAACAAGCTTAATTCACTTTTGGATTTTAAACACCACGGTGTGCTATTGTAGCCGTTAACGTTACGATACAGACGCTGTCTATCACTGACGGTCCACTTTGGTTCCTGGTATTTTATAGCTAGCTAACGGTAGCGTTAGCAGAGCAGCTCCAGGGATGGCGGAGGTTCCCGGGACTTCGAGTGAGACGATAACTGAGACTGTTCAGACGAGCACGCCGCCGCCGCCCCAGCAGGTACCGGGAACTCTGCTAGCTAACAGTGGCTATCAGCTAGCTCTGTTTGAAGCTATACCAGGCCCTCTCCTTCTCTGTGTCATGCCTGCTTGTCTGCCTGATGAAGCTACCGGGCCTAATGTGGTCATTACCCTATCTCCTGTAAAATGACAGCATGTTTAGGGTGTGACAGGACAGTGAGCGGGAATCCTGGTATGTGCAGGTTGTTGTCATGTCTGCATTAACAGTGGCGGCTCTCTGGAGCTTGTTCAGGATGGACTCTGAACCCAGTCACACCTCGGACTGGTCTCAGGTCTGACGGTACAGACAGAAACACACTAACAGCAGCAATATCACGAATATATCATATCACATTCAGACCTGAGACATGCATCTGGTGTACTATATTAGTATAAAGTGTAAAAAAGTATGTGCACATATGAACAGTCATGCAGATGCCTGTTGTTACTGGATGGTCTTTGGTCCTTAGTTCCAATGACTGGAGATGTTATAGCCTCATCTTATAATTCTGTTTAAGATAAGAAGAAGATGACATACAGGACAAGTGTTAAGTTCAAAGTTAAAATTGTACTCTGTTGTTACACATTTGACAGTCGAAAGGCACACGTGCAAACAGGACTTAGCACAATTGGTAAATTATTTTGGTCATGGTTTATTTGAATTACTTTATACACTACTAGGTAGCTTAACCTATAATAAGGAGTACAGTATATACAGTACAAAAATTAAAAGGCCACTCCAAATTCTTCTTAAATCTCAATCTCTACATGTATGGCCTCCATTCCATCCCAGTGTCTGTTGAATTCAGAGAAATGCTGTCAGTAGTTAGTAGAATAAAATAAAAATAAACATTAATTGTACTCAAATACATACCTATAAATAGTACAACCAGAGAAACTGATAATGCTGCAGTGGTCTTTTTCCAGAGCTGTATGTTGAAATCATGACTGTGCTTCGGCCTGGGTCTTTTTGTCCAGATTGGTCTATGGTCCTTAGTGCCAGTGAGTGGAGATTGTATTGCCTCAGCTTCTAATTATATTTTAGATAAGAAAAAGGTGACACACATGGGAGAAATGTTCAGTTCACTTTTTACTCTATTGATACACATTTGACAGTCCTATACAGATAAGGCCCGTAAAACGCACATGCACAAAGGGGTCAGAGCGAAGGGGCCGCCCTGGATCAGTTGGGGGTTTGGTGTCAGGGCATAGGGTTTCTCCAACTTTGGTCCAACAGTTGTTTTTAGCTCTTTCCAGTTCCAACTGGTCGACACCCCCTTCTCAAACCCAGGTCCATAAGTAATGGTTTTCTAAGTTTTGCATTGAAAAAAAAGCCCTGACACCTTACCCAGACAGGAGCTTTGGGATGGACTGGAAGACAGGTGGACCTTAGAATCACATGACTTGGAATGTTCAGTTGTTCTAAAACTGTATTTGATTTGCCTCACATCTTTTCAATCACTCAGAGGTCCACCAGCAGATGCTGATCATCTTAATGTAATATGATCCCTGGTACCACACACACAACAACACAAACTGTAACTATACTGTTGTGCAATGACACTGTTCATGTGCAATATACATTATATTCATCTTTTAGACGTGAATATTGTCACTGCTAGCTGCTACTTCCTTACTTAAGTCTGTAACAACACTGCTGTGTAGTAACACTGATTATATTTCACTTTTTTAGTTCGGAGCTAGTTGGCAGTTAGGAACCAGTTGTTTTTCCACTGTCATGACATCACTGTTTACGCCGCTATAAGCAGACCTGTCCTTTGTTTACAGGAGGGACGCAGCCTGACAATCAAGCTGAGGAAGAGGAAGACGGAGAAGAAGGTGGAGTGGTCCAGTGACACCGTCGACAACGAGCACCTAGGAAGAAGGTCCTCCAAATGTGAGTCCTGATCAGCACAGACTGAGATGTAGATAATTGTGTGTTTTAATAACAGCAACTGCTAACAAGTGTCTAAATTAGACCACTAAATGTCATCACACCCAACATTAGCCGCCTTTAGCTGTTGGTAATGTTAGCTTTTTACTTCTGGTGATTGCATTTGTTCGTAAAAAATCATAAAGGGGGGTTAATATGTAGGGATTATCCTGCTGAACAAAATGTGTAAGTATTATAAACGTATGGAAAAATCCCATTAAAGTTACAGTAAACTCTTAAACACTTCCTTAGAACCTGTATAGTACAGTTTACCTGCCAAATGATGATCCTGATTACTTTCATCTTGAAAATAACAATATATGCATAAAGGAGCTACAAAATGTAGCCAGGGACAACTGACAAACATATTAGAGTTAAACATGATTAAATGGTGTTGTGTGGTGGATTAGGATTATGTGAAAATATGTCATTATCTCCTCACTTTTTCCTCAGATTGCAATTCATATCAGAACTCAAACATGTTTCCCTCCTCCACACACATACTGCATACACAGGTGGTTAAGTGTTTAAACCTCCTGGCTGCTGCTGCTCTGCTGGATTCATCAAAGTGCGAGAAGCTATTTTTACCCCACGCTCATTTAGTTTCTATTGTGATGGGAAGTGTTTGAACATGAAAAAAAACTGTGTGTGTGTGTGGTGTGTGTGTGTGTGTGTGTGTGTGTGTGTGTGTGTGTGTGTGTGTGTGTGTGTGTGTGTGTGTGTGGTGTGTGTGTGGTGTGTGTGTGTGGTGTGTGTGGTGTGTGTGTGTGTGTGGTGTGTGTGTGTGTGTGTGTGTGTGTGTGTGGTGTGTGTGTGTGATGTGTGTGTGTGTGTGTGGTGTGTGTGTGTGTGTGTGTGTGTGTGTGTGTGTGTGATTGTGTGTGTGTGTGATGTGTGGTGTGTGTGGTGTGTGTCGTGTGTGTGTGTGTTGTGTAGTGTGCATTGTGTGTGTGTTGTGTGTGATGTGATATGTGTGTGTGTTGTCGTGTGTGTGTGGTGTGTGTGTGTGCTGTGATGTGTTGGGTGTGGTGTGTGTGTTTCTTTTGGGGGGGGTGTGTGGGTGTTGTGTTGCTGTGTGTGGTGTGTTGTGTGTGTGTTGTGTGTGTTGTGTGTGTGTGTGATGTGTGTGTGTGGCAGAGCTGCTGTGATCTACGAGAACAGCCTCGACAGTTCGGAGAGTCGTCCTCCGAGAGCGAGGGAGAGGACGATGATGAAGGCTGCGGCAGCGCTCACTGCATCCTGGGCCACGGCAGGAGAGATAATGGACAGACGGGGGGTGGGGGGGCCACGGCGCCCCCAAACTCTGGGGGGTCACACAGCCACTAGTGTGGGGGTCTCGCCACGACAATGACACGTACAAACTGCACTCTTTTTGTTTTTGTTTTAGTCCATCACTGAGCTGCAGAGGAGGCAGCACAGACACAGGGATTACTGAGTCAGCATAATTACATAACCTGCTCTCAAAAAAGATGCATGCAGTCAACTGACATGCATCACATGGAATAAGTCAAAGTGTTAAGGAGTCATGCTGTGATGGCGCTAGATTTGAAAAGGCCAGTCTTTCTGCATGTGTTCCTTTACTGCAGATCACTCAGTATCTCACTGCTGAGCATTTTCCAAAGCATGTAGTTCCATTGATATCCATTTACTTAACTCTGCTGCCAATAAACTCTGAGGTGTGTGATCCATCATAGGAACACCATGCTGGCTCTGTCTCTGTCACAGTGCAGCGCTGCAACTGCCCTTTGTTTTCTTCATTTGCTGAATATCTTCTTCATTATTTGAGCAGTAATATTTGTATATAACTGTGGGAAGAAAGGGAAGAATGTCTCTCACTCTCCTCGACTCAAGGTGACGAACATTATTCAAATATGCAGCTTGTATGATAAATAAAACACACTTCTTCCTTACACACTGCAGAGGGACTGGAAATATGGAAATATTTGCTGATTTATTTTCTCTACTGATAAATTCATTAAGAAATCTACGTAAGAGCATCATGGCCACATCCTAACATAAGAAAAGGTTTGGGCCAAACGGTTTGTTTTTATTGAGTTTTTTTCTCAGAATTCAGAGATAAAAGTCATAATTCAAATGTGTTTTTAACTTTGGCCACATCAGAGAAAAGTCTAAATTCTGAGATTAAATTTAGAAATCTGAGAAAAAAACTCGTTTGAGAATTTTTTAACAATTCCACATTTTTTAACTTTTAGTCACATCCCAAAACCGCTTCTCATGTGGCTCTTATCCTCCTCCGTAGGAATCAGTTCAGCTCCATTGACCATTTTTGTTTCTTAATTTATTTATTTATCATTTAGTAAGAATGTAGGGTAACGTTTTAGACATTTTCTTTATTAAATGGCTTGTTTATTCCAGAAACATTTAACAACAACATATTTGCTTCACAATTTGATATGTAATCACCGCCCAATGTTAACTTCCAGTGATAAAGAAAACAAGCCTTCACAGAAGTGATGTGTGTTCTGCACAGAGCTTTGGAAAATGGTCGGCAGTTCTGTAAACAATATTTCATTGCCAAAGTAAACTGAATTATGTAAAAAAGAAAAACCCTATTGACATATTGTGTATGGTGTGAAGTGATGTGGATGATTGAAATGCTCCTGTACAGCTGATATTGTGCTGACTCAGCTTTAAGCATGGCAGCCACTGTAACCCTTTAACATCATTTGCACTCCGGTGCAACACAATGCCAACGCTTGTCACAAAGTTTCATACTGCCTATTAAAGAATTCTCTGTAATTCTTTGGAAGATGTTCCTCAGCAGGAAGTGTTTGTAATTTGTGGTGAAGAAGCTGAAACGTATAAAAGATGATGATGCAGAGGTTAGAAACAGAAGCTCTGGCCCCAGCTGCAGGGGGACTTCCTGTCTGAGCGGGGTCTTTCCACAGCACAGCACATTTATTCACATGTTGGTTTCATTCTATTATGCAGTCACTAACAGCATATCTCACTTTATTTTGAGCTGAGTCACTGTTTGCTGTTTGTGATTGGAAGATGTCATTGTGCCGATTGTTAAAAGAACACATTGCACAAGACTGTAATGACATATTACTCCGTTGGCTTTAGCACCATCACTGTTACCTCTTCATGATCACTTCAATGATTTAACAACACTGGGGCTTTCACTTCTTCCAACCCGATTGGTTAGAAGAAGCTTTACAGTAATGACTAAATCAAAAAATATAAGATATAAAACAAGTTAAAATAATTCCAACAGATTGCATCAAGGTCAAACAGGAGATTTCATTAGAGACAATCCTTAAGAGGTTTTCAAGTGCCTTCAGCACCTCTTCATTATTAAAAGCATTAATAGTTTAATTTCACAGTTAGAATTTCAGACTGGCCAATCAGCATTTAGTTAGTATATTGATGTTTTATGAAACCTTTTAAAAACTACAGATATCATCACTATGAACCTTGACATGGAGCATAGTTCTAAAGTGAGATTATGGAGCTGAGGTACAAAACACAATAGAAAATATCCATATCATAGTCAAACCCTGATATCGTCTTATATTGTATTGTAAAAAAGTAAAAGATTGTCTTTAGTTGAAAGGCTGCGTGACAGTAAAGTGTTGTTTTATTGGTTATCACTTAGTCTATATTTCCTCTTGACTGATGATTACTCATCAGAAATCTCATCCTGCTAATAAAATGAGCACCGGTCTGAACAACATCGCTGCCAAATGAAAACATAAAGAATATAGTGACTTATCACCCAGTCCTATTAGTTAGCTGTTATAATGAAATCTCTGATTGAACAATACATCCTTGGCCTGTGTTGGGAGATGACTTTATCTAACATCATGTAAACCTGGATCACTCAAACTACACATCAAGGACTTCCAGTTGTGTCAAATGTAAACTAAAATCACATGTGGTTGCTTTTGCAGAGCTCGAATCATCCGTTTTTTGTAATGACTGATTCAATGAGACCTCACCGAGTGATTGTATTTTTTACATTTATACATTTTTCTCTGGTTTTCATTTGCTTGATTGATTTTGAGATAAATCCACTGGACAATCTTAGAAACTATGACATGTTGGCGTTTGAAAAATTGTTGTTTTTAGAGCTTAGACAAACTCAACCGTCCTGAGTTGTGAATAACATCGTTCATTTGTATGGACAAATGAGTTCCTTTTCAAAGCAGCCATAAGTCCCCTTTAGATCCAGCCGCTCCATGGTCACTCTGAGCTCCATGGTCACTCTGAGCTCCGTGGTCACTCTGAGCTGCTCCATGGTCACTCTGAGCTCCGTGGTCACTCTGAGCTCCGTGGTCACTCTGAGCTGCTCCATGGTCACTCTGAGCTCCGTGGTCACTCTGAGCTCCATGGTCACTCTGAGCTCCGTGGTCACTCTGAGCTCCGTGGTCACTCTGAGCTCCGTGGTCACTCTGAGCTGCTCCATGGTCACTCTGAGCTCCATGGTCACTCTGAGCTGCTCCATGGTCACTCTGAGCTCCATGGTCGCTCTGAGCTCCATGGTCACTCTGAGCTGCTCCATGGTCACTCTGAGCTCCATGGTCACTCTGAGCTCCATGGTCACTCTGAGCTGCTCCATGGTCGCTCTGAGCTCCATGGTCGCTCTGAGCTGCTCCATGGTCACTCTGAGCTCCATGGTCGCTCTGAGCTGCTCCATGGTCACTCTGAGCTCCATGGTCACTCTGAGCTCCATGGTCGCTCTGAGCTGCTCCATGGTCGCTCTGAGCTGCTCCATGGTCGCTCTGAGCTGCTCCATGGTCACTCTGAGCTGCTCCATGGTCACTCTGAGCTCCATGGTCACTCTGAGCTCCATGGTCGCTCTGAGCTGCTCCATGGTCACTCTGAGCTGCTCCATGGTCACTCTGAGCTGCTCCATGGTCGCTCTGAGCTGCTCCATGGTCACTCTGAGCTCCATGGTCACTCTGAGCTCCATGGTCGCTCTGAGCTGCTCCATGGTCGCTCTGAGCTGCTCCATGGTCGCTCTGAGTTCCATGGTCGCTCTGAGCTGCTCCATGGTCACTCTGAGCTGCTCCATGGTCGCTCTGAGCTCCATGGTCGCTCTGAGCTGCTCCATGGTCGCTCTGAGCTGCTCCATGGTCGCTCTGAGCTGCTCCATGGTCGCTCTGAGCTCCATGGTCGCTCTGAGCTGCTCCATGGTCGCTCTGAGCTGCTCCATGGTCACTCTGAGCTCCATGGTCGCTCTGAGCTGCTCCATGGTCGCTCTGAGCTGCTCCATGGTCGCTCTGAGCTGCTCCATGGTCACTCTGAGCTCCATGGTCGCTCTGAGCTGCTCCATGGTCACTCTGAGCTGCTCCATGGTCACTCTGAGCTGCTCCATGGTCGCTCTGAGCTGCTCCATGGTCACTCTGAGCTGCTCCATGGTCACTCTGAGCTCCATGGTCACTCTGAGCTCCATGGTCGCTCTGAGCTGCTCCATGGTCGCTCTGAGCTGCTCCATGGTCGCTCTGAGCTCCATGGTCGCTCTGAGCTGCTCCATGGTCACTCTGAGCTGCTCCATGGTCGCTCTGAGCTCCATGGTCGCTCTGAGCTGCTCCATGGTCGCTCTGAGCTGCTCCATGGTCGCTCTGAGCTCCATGGTCGCTCTGAGCTGCTCCATGGTCGCTCTGAGCTCCATGGTCACTCTGAGCTCCATGGTCGCTCTGAGCTGCTCCATGGTCACTCTGAGCTCCATGGTCGCTCTGAGCTGCTCCATGGTCGCTCTGAGCTGCTCCATGGTCGCTCTGAGCTGCTCCATGGTCACTCTGAGCTCCATGGTCGCTCTGAGCTGCTCCATGGTCGCTCTGAGCTGCTCCATGGTCACTCTGAGCTCCATGATCACTCTGAGCTGCTCCATGGTCGCTCTGCAGGACTCGTGTTCCATGATGTTTTATTATAATGTCAGACAGGTGACGGTGCTGGCTCTGTACTCATGTCTTAGCTATGACCAAAACTCACCTGATGCAGGCTCCATCATCTTCATCGTGGTCCTGGTTCAGATATGTGACAGTATGAGTTCCACCCTGCCGCCTCTCCTCTATCTTAACACATTGTTACATATGTACATTGTTCTTGTAATGGTAATGCACCTTCTGTATATACTATGATCATAATGAGAGCAGATTTAATGTGAAATAAAGTCTTAATCTGTCATTCAGCTGGCTCACATGTGTGGTATATACAGGGTTGGGAGGGTTACCTGTAAAAAACTGTCATCAGTAACCTAATCTGACTATCAGAATATAAAAGTAATGTAACCTGATTACTTTCCATTCTGTTGGATTACCTCAATATCAAACACAATGCATATAAAAAAATCAATAAAATGTTTTTACTTAAGTGCATTATGTAAAACAACAGATCAACGTGACCTTAGAAAAGAAGAAACCAAGATATTTAGGATCAGAATGATTTTATTTGTAGGAAAAGCTGCCTTTCATAAAGCAGATTCAGGCAGTAGTCTATACACCAACACTGAGCAGAAATACAATCCGATCCTTTTACAACAAACACTATTATGTTCTTTTTAGTTTGACTAACTCTGTAATCCTGCCAGTAATCCTCATTTTTTTTTTGACGTCGTCATGACCGCAGCAAATCTGGATCAGCTCCGTTGTGTTGTACCCCCGTTTTTAGAGATGTGGGTAAGAGAGGGTTTTATTTTCGGACACTTTGTGAGTCTCCTTACACACCGGGGACACATATTTATGTATAGAAGATATCAAAAAGTGCCTTTTGTATAATAGGTGACCTTTAAAGTGTGTAAAATACGAGTGTAGGAAATAAATACAATCAGACAGTTTAATAAAGAGAATATTTATTGAGCCTCAGTGTAGCGTAGTACAGTTAGTTCACTTTTCAGTTCAATGACAGCACAGATATGCAGTGGTCCAGCAGTCAGTGTGTCCACTGCTCTTATCAAAATAGCTTTCCTCACCATATGACTGCAATATGTGATGAATTAAAGGCAACACAGATGTACACATTGTGTCATCTTGGGATTTACATGTACATGAGCTCAAATTTCCTTTAGCAAAATACAATTTTGAAATCCTATTGTTTTGTTTGTAAAATACTGAAAAGGCATTAGGGCCACATGTGAAATTATTTTTGAGATCCGAGCAAATAAAAAAAATGCCAGAATTCTGTGATGAATCCTATTAGATGAATTCTTCTTAAATGAAAATAAAAAGGGTCCTAATGATCTTCTGAGTACTCTCCTTGGCACAACACTACCATCATTACAATCAGAAGGAAGTGAAATGCATGGTTTTATTTCATTTTTGCAGATAATGTGCAAACTTAACTGTCAACAGGCTTTTGGAACGCCTATTTTTAGTTTCTTAGTGAAAGACATTTTATATGAATTAATTAATTAATTAACAATATAATTCTATTGAATAAAGGGCGGCAACTATTATTCTCATTATTGATTTCTCCACCTCTAGTTTCTGAAAAAGTCTCAAACAATATCAAAATATTTGCAAATATATATTCTGTTGACCGATTGTTTCAGCTCTTTATAAAAGGGTCAGGATTCTAATTTAATTTCAACCTCTAGGTTGCACATTGCCTTTCCAAAACTAAAAGGGGAGCATGTAATGTTCACTGTGATGTCTTTGTGGCGGTGTTATGCTTAGGGATACACTGGAAATCACTTTGTATTGTTGGTAGTGGTTCTGCTTTGTAATACAAATTACATTTTTACACTTGTATTGTATATAAGTGTACACAAACGCTTCCATCTGACAGGCTGTGATACAAACGGTGCTTTCTGGATAACAAACGATACACACATGCTGTGAGAGAGAATGTGTAATACAAGTCACATATGTTTAAATACAACAGAGTGTAGGAAAAACATGCTATTGTGCACTTTCACTGTTGTACCTTTAACTCTAAAGCATGACATCAATTAAAGTCCAGAAATCACATACTGGTAGGAATGTTAAGTTTGAAACAAACATCATGGCACAGATAAGAACCAAAGCAACAAACCATCATGACACATGCATGTGTGCTGCTGGTGTTATGTGTCACATTTCTGATTCATGGAAGGAGCAAGGAGCATATTGAGTCTTTTCTCAACGTTAAGTACATCATGCACTGTACATGGTCAAGTCTTCAACAAATGTCTCTTCTCTTCCACAGGGCATCAGCTCTTATGAACATATATCAAGTACAAAACACATTTATAAAGTCTACTTTCCAGCACTGTGAACCCGTTGTTGAGTACCCCAACGTTTGATGTTAGAAATGTATAGTAGAACAATATAGTAGCAGATCAGGATGCTAACTGGCATATGTCGGGTAATTTGCACAATTAGCATAAGTAGAATTCATTAGCATTAAATAGCATATGCAAACAATATCTATAAAATAGCTTGGCTGGTTTCTGCATTTTTTTCTGTGTGTTTTTTAAGGTATATTGAATATGTTGAATCAATTTCTGAAATGTTATGGATAACAAATGGAAGTTTTGAGTCCCCTAAAACTTTAAAGTCGACCCAAAATGAATTAAGATCAGCCCACCGGGAGTACAAGTATGGCCACTTTCTGGTTAAAACTGCCATTATGGAACCTGGAAATGTCAGGAATGGATTCAACATCCTCAATAACCCCCAAAACCCCTCCAAAATTGGCCAACTTGGCAAACCCAATTTAACTATTGTCTGCATAGGCTATAATGCTAATGAATGCAAATTATGCTAACTGTGCAAATTGCCCAACATATGCAGATTAGCTTCCGGCAGTTTCTATGTGCTGGGGATCCCTACTATACAATTCTAACATAAAACTTTTGGTTACTCTTTCCGGGTTCACAACAGCACTCTGCGCTGCAAACAGACGAATAGGTAGAAAGAAGGACTCACAGCTGAGTGTTCCTCTATGGCTCTAAAGACTCCATCGCATTCCATTCATTTAGTCTTCGGTGTGAAAATATATATATATATTTTATTTTTAAGAGACAACATTTGTCATGGCTTGGATACGGTGTAGTTACTGCTTCCTCAGAACGTCTCCATATTTGGATGTTAGCCTTCTGTTGAATAAACCCCGCCCCAAAAACAGGGATGTGATGTCACAGGTCTGATTGGTTGGTTCATAAATAGATACTAAGCAGCTTAATCACAGACTGTTAAATAAGCAATATTGCGGTTTGTAGTCCGGTAGTAGGATTTCTGTACAAACAATCAAATCAATCTCATACCTGCTTTCAACTTTGTGCCGTGTTTTCTAGTGGTAAAGTTAGTTGGAGCCAGCTGGAGATGGGACAGAAACTCATGCTTATTTTCTGTGCTTCAAGCTTCAGTTGAATTCAATTAAAGATGGGATGATTTTTAGCAGGTAGTGTTTGAAGTGCACTTAGACTGGATAGACCTTTATGATTCCAAATTCACTCAATATGGATAACTGTTCATGTTCTTCTCTTAGAAGCTGAAGATTTTGATATCTGTAGTACTAAAAACCTTCAGAATTCTGTTCCTTGATTCACATTTCTTTCCTTCTCTCTGAGGCATTCCGGCTGTGTTGGTTTTGTCGATTTCCTTTCAAAATTCACCAAAGGCAATAACCTGGTCCCAAACTCTCTCAGGGTGAATCAGAAAACAACGTAGTCCCCTAAGTCAGGAAATGAAATGTTAGCTAAATAAATTGCAACACTTCCTCAATATGCTTTCTCTTCTTGACCCTACATGCTGCTTCAACATTCATGGCGTTGTAGTAGTGGTTACTCAACCTTGTAATGTCCATATTGTGGTGACAGCATTAAGATCAAGTGAGGACAGACATCCATAGACACAGTTCATTAGTGTTAAACATAAAGTGATATGAGCAGAACTGGTAGGAGTGTAATGAAGGTGCAATACAGTTATTAAGCCGGGCAGCAGTGTGTGTGTGTGTGTGTGTGTGTGTGTGTGTGTGTGTGGTCCAGCTGGAGGTCCTCATCAGCTGACACACAGCAGCTCCTCATCCTGTGGAGGAAACACAGCTCTCTGAATAACAGCTCACAAGTGTTTACAGAGATCGGCATAGAATTGAAGAGAAAACGACAAACCCTGCACTATGATCAAATCAACATAAGTCAAATATGAACTCATCACTCTGATAAGCAGACTGTACCAATAGATTTTACCCCAACAATTACTTAAAGAGGACATATTATTCTCATGTTCAGGTGTATATCAGTATGTAGTGTCTCTACTTTAAAGAGTCCTCTCCTGCTGATGTTCAGGTGTATATCAGTATGTAGTGTCTCTACTTTAAAGAGTCCTCTCCTGCTGATGTTCAGGTGTATATCAGTATGTAGTGTCTCTACTTTAAAGAGTCCTCTCCTGCTGATGTTCAGGTGTATATCAGTATGTAGTGTCTCTACTTTAAAGAGTCCTCTCCTGCTGATGTTCAGGTGTATATCAGTATGTAGTGTCTCTACTTTAAAGAGTCCTCTCCTGCTGATGTTCAGGTGTATATCAGTATGTAGTGTCTCTACTTTAAAGAGTCCTCTCCTGCTGATGTTCAGGTGTATATCAGTATGTAGTGTCTCTACTTTAAAGAGTCCTCTCCTGCTGATGTTCAGGTGTATATCAGTATGTAGTGTCTCTACTTTAAAGAGTCCTCTCCTGCTGATGTTCAGGTGTATATCAGTATGTAGTGTCTCTACTTTAAAGAGTCCTCTCCTGCTGATGTTCAGGTGTATATCAGTATGTAGTGTCTCTACTTTAAAGAGTCCTCTCCTGCTGATGTTCAGGTGTATATCAGTATGTAGTGTCTCTACTTTAAAGAGTCCTCTCCTGCTGATGTTCAGGTGTATATCAGTATGTAGTGTCTCTACTTTAAAGAGTCCTCTCCTGCTGATGTTCAGGTGTATATCAGTATGTAGTGTCTCTACTTTAAAGAGTCCTCTCCTGCTGATGTTCAGGTGTATATCAGTATGTAGTGTCTCTACTTTAAAGAGTCCTCTCCTGCTGATGTTCAGGTGTATATCAGTATGTAGTGTCTCTACTTTAAAGAGTCCTCTCCTGCTGATGTTCAGGTGTATATCAGTATGTAGTGTCTCTACTTTAAAGAGTCCTCTCCTGCTGATGTTCAGGTGTATATCAGTATGTAGTGTCTCTACTTTAAAGAGTCCTCTCCTGCTGATGTTCAGGTGTATATCAGTATGTAGTGTCTCTACTTTAAAGAGTCCTCTCCTGCTGATGTTCAGGTGTATATCAGTATGTAGTGTCTCTACTTTAAAGAGTCCTCTCCTGCTGATGTTCAGCTGTATATCAGTATGTAGTGTCTCTACTTTAAAGAGTCCTCTCCTGCTGATGTTCAGGTGTATATCAGTATGTAGTGTCTCTACTTTAAAGAGTCCTCTCCTGCTGATGTTCAGGTGTATATCAGTATGTAGTGTCTCTACTTTAAAGAGTCCTCTCCTGCTGATGTTCAGGTGTATATCAGTATGTAGTGTCTCTACTTTAAAGAGTCCTCTCCTGCTGATGTTCAGGTGTATATCAGTATGTAGTGTCTCTACTTTAAAGAGTCCTCTCCTGCTGATGTTCAGGTGTATATCAGTATGTAGTGTCTCTACTTTAAAGAGTCCTCTCCTGCTGATGTTCAGGTGTATATCAGTATGTAGTGTCTCTACTTTAAAGAGTCCTCTCCTGCTGATGTTCAGGTGTATATCAGTATGTAGTGTCTCTACTTTAAAGAGTCCTCTCCTGCTGATGTTCAGCTGTATATCAGTATGTAGTATCTCTACTCTGACATGTCTCCATGCTTTAATGTTCAAAAAGCTCTTTATTTTTCTCATCCTGCCTGTGCTGCAGCACCTCTTTTCACCCTCTGTCTGAAACCAGAGCCCAGTCTGCTCTGATTGGTTAGCTGGCTGGCTCTGTTGTGATTGGTCAACCACTTAGAGATGTTTTTTTATCGTGTGTCTGTATCTGTAAAGTTACCGGTTAATGCTATAACCCCTGACTGATACTGGATTTTTAAGGCCAAACACTGATTTTGGTATGTAAGAGTTTAAAGAAATATGATCATTAGAATATCCCTGGCAGTTAGAAAAGAATAGAACAAATAAATGTTGTTCTTTTGTTTTAATATGGAAGAGGATGAGGGCCAGAAAAAAAGGCCAAATTTTGACTTCAATCTCAGAATTCGGAGAAAAAAAAGTGTAGCTGTATTAACACTTACTTCGTTAAATATTAAATTAATTTATATTTTCAATTAAGTGAAGTAGAGGCAAAAAATTGAAGGAAACTAAAGTACAAGTACCTAAATATTGCACTCTAATAAACCATTATGAGTATATTATAATCGTTCCAAAATCCATTTTCATTAAGATCCCGTATAGAGGAAATACTCTCACAAAAAAAAGTACAGGGATTTCATAAAAACGTACAACAAAAAAATATTGATTTATGTATTTCGGTCACTATGGATCCAGAAACGTTCACTATGGCCGTCTGTGATCAGCATCAACCCGCCTGTACGAATAAAGGTGTTCTGATTCTATGAAGCCTGGAGGGGTGAGGTCCGCCCACACTGGAGTGAGAGCCTCCAGACCTGGGGCCTCATTTATAAAGGGATATACGCTCAAAAAATGGCGTACGCCAGTTTCTACGCAATGTTTGTGATTTATAAAATACTAACTTGACTGGAAAATGTGCTGTCCTCCACGCAAACTCTAACCCATGCGTACGCACTAAGCACACACACGGGAGAGACGAGAAACTGCGACACCGTTGGCAGAAGGAAGAATGGAGAGAAATATGTGGAAATAATACCATAAATAAAATGTTACCTCATTTATCATATATGAAGAATTCATTTTCAAACATTGATTAAAGCCAATCTTAAAATGATTAAACAAAAGCCTGTTTGAGACTCCTCAGTGCACACAAAAACATAACTTGGAGAAATAAATAAATACGGATATGTTATTTAAAACCACCTCGAATATGTTGTGTTAATGTTATGAAATGTTTTCTCATAAATGATGCGGTAAGCAGGAGGACAGAATTACGTCTAAACTGACGCCGTTTTGCATTTCTATAGGTTGTAGATACGAGCATGGTTTTATATACTATCACGTTTAATCGTGTTTTATGCCGTTTGCCAAGACTTGATAAGTCGCTCGTAAAACACAGGAGGTATGGAAACTAAGAACACCATATGTGGTAAATTGTACAGCTAATATAACACAACACATTAGTTGTATTTCCTTTAACTGGTGGATTATGGATATATAGTTGCTGATCGACAGCTGGAACACAAACCACCAAATACAACAAAATTATTCAGATCCAGTCGTCATGACTCCACTCCGGAGGGATTCCCCCATCATTTCTTACAGTTTCTCATCAAGGGGGTGTCTCCTGTCCCCGGGACAAACACACTGCCTGAGGAAGGTTATGTGTATTTTTTTTGTCATTAACTTTTTTCGGACCACTTATTTATTTATTTTGGTGACGATCCGACCTCCATGCTGCTACTCTGGTTCAAACTGCATCCACCAAACAATATGATTTATCTCGACCTCCCCAAAATAACCAAAATCTGACTCGGTGTGAGATGTCTTTTTTAGCTGTTCTGTCGTCATTTCCTGCGATCTTCTTCATGGAGTCAGTCAAAATGAATGAATGGATGGATGGGCGTTTCTTTGACTATTTATAAGCAAATATGGGCGTTACGTGAAGCCCGCAAAAGCTGCGCCGCATTTCGAGTCGATTGTGATTTATAAAAGGGAAACAGGCGGAGGATGTGCCGTACGCACTTCCCTCGCCGGTACGCAATGTTTTGTGAATCGGAAAATGTCGGAAAATGTCTGTACCTATTTTTTTGCTTTGTACTACGTAAGCAACCTTCCCACGTGAATCCTACGCAAGGCGTTATAAATGAGGCCCCAAGCCTCACTAAAGAAGGATGATTTGGAGTCAATGTAGACTTGGAAACTGACCTGAGCTAAACTACCTGCAGTGACAATGCTACAGCTTCAGCGGTTGATGGTTATTAAGAGGTTCATCATTTGGGTATTTGTGGAATGTCACGCAAAGCATCAGAGAAAAGGAAACACTTGTGATGTGGTGAAGTGTAACATAGACATGAGGAATGGTGGGCCTTACCTCAAATTTAACTTGTCTTCACTTTGTCTTTTACAGACACAAGCTTTTCTTCACATTCCAAACTGTCTTTCTTTTCCTCTGTCTCCTTGTCCTCCTCCTCAACTTCTTCTTTTTCTTCCTCCCCGCCGAGTATCACGCTCTGTCGCACGCTGACGGAGATCACCAGCGCCTGGATGATGCCGTAGATCAGGGCGAACTGAGGGAGGTACTCCTGGATCAGCCAGAGTAGCCCAGCCATTCCCACCGAAGACACGAAAAACATGGCCATGCCGTGCAGCCACAGCCTCAGAGCCCCCTGCACCCCGAACACCTCCAGGATCAGCTTGGCGGGGGGGGACACCGTCCACAGGAAGCCCACCACAAACAGATCGAACAGGTGGCGCAGGAAGTTGAAGCAGATGTCGTAGTGCTCTGGGAGGATGTCCACCTTCCAGCTGTTAGCAAAGAGTCGAAAAGGAGATGAGGAAGGGGGTATGGGAGAGGGAGGAGGCGTCCCGTAGTCGGAGAAGTCCCCCTCCCCGTCACCGTCACTCGTACCTCCATCCCGTTTCCTCTGTCTCAGTCCGCTTGGCTCGCTTTTTTCTGGCCATGAAATGTAAGAAGTTGGGAGATACTTATTCCACCATCTAGACTCTGGATTGGTCACCTGTTGCCTGGCGCTGAGGACTTCGACTTCTCTTGGCTGAAGCTTCTCCTGCGCCTCCCAGAACTCCTCCGCCGGACTGCTTTTCTCACTCCTCCACCCTCCCCAGATCCAGGAGGTCCAGCCCCTCTGGCCCTGTTTGCTGACTCCTTGCTCCTGGCCCCCTCTCACCTCTGTGTTATTCTCTGACGCAGCACTCTTGCCCCCCCAGGAGCGCACCCACCCCCACGCTCTGCTCACCACAGCTGTCATGCTTTCTCACAGAGCTTGTTGGAGTTGAATTAAGATGCAGAGACTCTCAGCTAATCTGACTCCCTTATTGGGAAAGCATGCATGAACTGCCAGTGCTGAAGTTGTAATACTTGTTCAAATATGTCCTCAGGCCACAGACACACCTGTGGGTGTGCTGGAGCAGTGCAGCTGAATACCACGGGTGACCCCTCCTGCCATTTAGAAGTCAGGCTTCTCCTCTACATGTCTTTGGTTCAACCTGGCAACATTTGGAGCTGCCAAGGTTGCGTTCAGGAGCATTACCTTCAAATGTGCTTAATGAGCAAGTTAGCACCGGCTAGTACACGTGAGTAGGTTGAGATGAGAGTTTAGGTTCAGCTCCAGAATGTTAACAATGTTGCTAGACAAACTTCTCAGAGACTCCAAAAACACATTGAGTCTCTCCTTAGATCTGCAAAAAACAAAAAGACATACAGTTGGTTTAAGCATGCAGAGGGGGAAGAAGTTCTCAGATCATGTAATTAATTAAAAGTACTAAAGTGTAGGAATACTCTGTTAAAGGTAGAAGTCCTACACTGCAAATGCTACTTAAGTAAAAGTACAAAAGTATTATCATCAAAATATAGTTAAAGTAGCGTCAGTAAAAGTAGTCATTGTGCAGATTGGTCCATTTCAGAATAATATATATGATATGTTTCATCTGATCATGAAAGTGTTCTCAAAGCTGGTAAAGGTGCAGCTAGTTTGAATGACTTTGTATACTGCAGGGTAGCTTGTGGATTTACTCCAGGTGGAACTAAAGTCTGATTTAACACTTGATTATATTTCACATAATTCATCCAGATCTGTAAAGTAACTAAAGGTATCGAATACATGTAGTGGAATAAAAGTACACTATTCATTTAATTTGTAGTGGTAAAGTACAAAGTAGCAAACAAGTAAAATACTCAAGTAAAGTACATGTCGCTCAGAATTGTACTTAAGTACAGTACATGGGTAAATGTACTTGGGTAAGTGTACTAGTTACAACTACTTCCAATTCCACATCAATGCGCTTTAGCTAATGTTACACTGTGTCTTAGTTTAGTCTTAGCTAACCTGCAGGGTTTACTAGAACAATAACACTGGTTAGCAGCGTATGACAGCTAGTTTAACGCTTACTAACTCTTTTCAGTAAACCATTTTAGTGTTTTTTATCGTTTAACGTTAGCCAGCATGACAACAGATACTCGCTTACCTTCAGTGACGTTAGCCTGAGTTTGTGTCAGACCGTCAGCTAGCCTCCCTGCTAGCATCAGAAGTCGAACCACCGAGCGAGCTCCTGACCGCTGGACACCGAGCCGTCAACAAACCGACGTGTTCCGGTTGGCGGTTACATACAGTCCGGACAGAGCTACCGGGCGACACGTACACAGCAACGGGAGTCTGGAGTACTGACAGCGGGACGGAGACACTCGGGTGTTTCTCAATGTCGAGTAAAGCTGCTCCAGAGCCACTATTTCAAGCATACTACGTCATCGATTGCCGCCGACAGGGCCGGACCTGACCAATTTGCTGCCCTAGGCAAGATTTTAGCTGGCGCCCCCCCCCCACCCCCTTGTGGCATGACCACCAAAACAGAAACATATGGACACAAGATGTGTGTTGTTGGTGTGTGTGACGTCTATCACTCCATGATGTCCCTCAGGTTACATGTTGCTTCATGTTGGGCAGCAGCATTTGCATTGTCCTCTCCTAGGAGTATTTTTAATTTTAAGATAATTTAACTATTTGCAACCAGGTATTACAGAGTTACATTTGTCATAAATGATCCTCCTATCATTATGTGTTTTGCATTATAGTTCGAAGTGACCTTATATTGCCATTTTATTTGGATTATAACAGATGTTAATTTCTTTAATTTTCCAGGATAAGGGCACAGTAAAGACCTGCACACAAGTTGCTATATGTACTGCTTTGTCATGCACTTAGAACGATAAAAGTAATACCTGATGAAATATAGAGGAATCTGAATCCAAAACATGGATTTAACAAACATCCTAGTTATTCACCCTTTAAGCTTAAGGTAATGATAAAGATTTGGTTGCACTTTTATGCATGAGAGATGAAAAATCCATGTACCTTTGTCAGGGGTCTTTAGTTGACTTTGAGAAAAGTTCTGTCGCCCCAACATGTGGGCGACTGAGGCTGAGAAGGAGTGCGGGCATCTTTCAACCAGAAGGCTATTGGTTCGATCCCAGCCAATGCAGCCAAGGGCACGGTACTTAACCTTGAGTTGCTCACGGCATGGCCAACAGTAGGCACGTTCACACCAAGTACTTTGCCGTATTTAGTGCCGGCACTTATTACCCCAGGGCATTTAGTACAGATCGCGTTCACACCGGAGTACTTTTCCCTGAGGGAAGATTACGCAAATGAGCCGCTGACGTCACTTCGTCTTCTTCTGCTTTGGGTTTACTGGCAGGCCACAAACAACTTCACGGCGTATACTGCCACCCGGAGTCCCCGGAGTTGGGGACTGGCTTCAGTAGAAGCTGCTGGGACTCCCAGCAGCTTCTACTGAAGCCTTCCGAGTAAAACACCAGAACGCCAACACCTCCTCATCTCCACCGCTCCCATGTTTTATTTTGTGTTGCCATAAGTTAGTCTCTCTGTGTTTGTGCACTGGGCGAATGCTAATGCTAATAATGCTAATGCCAGGATAATAAAATGGCGGCTCTACAAAACATTTCAGAGTTGTACGGGGCGTGGTTTGCAATTCGCCCAGCCAATCAGAACTGGGGCACTTTTTTCCCCCAGGAAAGTATCTCTCAGCAGGCACTAAAAATGGGGATAAAAGTTCCGGAGATGAAGTGCTCTTTTTGGTGTGAACGCGACATAAGGGGTACTAACGGAACTAAACGCGAAAAGTACGGTGAAAAGTACTCCGGTGTGAACGCGGTTATTGTGTGAATGTTTAGCTTCCTTGAGCGGCACGGCTGTGTGAAAGGGTGAATGATGACATGTAGAGCGCTTTGTGGGGTCGTAAAGACTGGGTAAAGCACTGTATAAGTATACACTGTATAGTCCATTTAGCATGTGGCAGGGGAGAAAGTATCTAGACTTATGGCTGTAAGCTATAGGGTGCAGTGTCAAACTCTGAACTGCACACATGCTATCAGGTTACACTGAAGCTTGCCATGTGAAAAGAGGCTAACTTTACATTATAGCATGTAAAAACTCCACACTGACCACAGTATGAGGTCTAAAACCACCAGACCCAGGGACAGTTTCATTCCACAGGCCATAAGACTGTTAAACACCTGAACATCCATCTGTTTGCAACTTACAAATTAATATATCATATTCCAATTACTGTACTCTCCTTGCACCATTTATATTCAATTCAAAGGAGCCTGTGACCTAATCTTTTCATTGACATATCTACACTGTAGCTATGTACAAATGACAATAAAAGCCTTGAATCTGAACAGCTCAGATACTCCACACACTCAAATTGAGCAAAGCATAGCACATGACAAACAAAACAGATTTCCACTTGTTGCAGTTCATAATGTTGTAATAACAGGAAAAAGGCAGTGTCCATTCTGTCAAACATTTATTTGAAAATTCTTCAAATACAAATTCATGTCAATGTAGTGAACAGTTTAGATCAGGGGTCTCCAACCTTTTTTAGGATGAGAGCTACTTTCAAAAAATAAAACAAGTCGTGAGCTACTTTTAGTCCTCTTTTTTTGCAGTGTATATATTTTGCACATTTTAACATGATATGCTTACCTTTAACCTTTGTGTGCTGTTTGGGTCTGTGGGACCCTTTTCAGTGTTTACTAAAATAAATTGTATTCAATTTAATTATTTTAACTGCTTTATTTTGGGGGTGGACCTCACATCCTCTTGGGGGGTCCGGGGGCATGCACCCCCGGGAAGATTTTTTTTTAAATGTTGAAGTGAAATGCATCAATCTGGAGCACTTTGAGCACAAGATGAATTTATGGAAACAGCTCTCAACGCTCAGATGAAAGGGAGCTGTATACTTTTCAATAATCCAAACATCTTTAGAATATGATCACAACCAATAACAAATCATTTAAACTGGTTTATTCATGTTACCTAGTTAGCATTCTTTCTTTTTGCATATTTTACTAATCACTCCCCTTTTAAATACAATATATTTCTCTCTCTCTCTCTCACTAAAAAATATTTGTAAAGTGCAGGGACACAAACGGGATTTCGAAAAGTGAGGGGGACTGGACTCTCCAGTGGAAATTACGCCATGTGTGTGTGCGTCAAGTGCAATAAATATGCAAGTTGCAACACACACACAGTAAAACTCTGCCCCTCATGTGCTGTATAGGCTGGCACGACTAGGCTGTTCAATGGGGCTGATGTGTTGTGTAGATTCTGCCAGAAGGAAAGGTTAAACTCCTTATGAAGCGGTGAGGTGCCGCTCCACATTAGAGATGGGTGAGTCCTGATTCATCCGGATCATTAACCCGGATCCTAGTAATGACGAGTCTCCCCTCTCCATTAACCCGAGTCCTTTGAGTCCTGGTGATGTACAAATTAAAACTATAAATTGCGTCACTCGCTACTCTCCTTATAACATGTAAAATCACATTACAACGTACCCTAGTCCATCTGCCTAGCCTTTAGCAAGTAGCATAGCTGGCAGAAGTTCCATACCTTATCATAGGGGATGCAGATCAGTGAAACTTCCTGCAGATCCAAAGATCCAGACTCATCATGCACGAGTCAACAGCAGACTCAGATTTGCAAATCCTGACTGACTGAATCAAGGGAACTTCCTTCACTGTGCAAAACATAGCAGACTCGTGCGGACTCAGAGCCGTAACCGTAGCAGATCCAGAGATCCAGACTCATCATGCACGAGTCAACAGCAGACTCAGATTCGGTGAGCGGACTGAATGAGTGGATTACTCCACACAGTGCAAAACAGCAAACGGTTTCGGACTCCTCATGGTTTTCAGACTCAGTGAGTGTCAGCTCTGTTTGTGATAACGTAGATGCATACTGTGCACAGATGATTTGACGACTTCACCCAGTAAGAAGTAAGAAGCCAGATAATGCAATAAACAAGCATTAAGACACAAACGTTATTAGATCATGTTTGTGTAGGTTAATGTAACGTTAGTTTAATATGCTCGTGAAATGCAAATCTCAAGTGACAAATTCAAAATTACAAATACACAAACAGTTGACTCACTAGTAGCTCTAACATTTGAATTTATTTGAAGTTGGAGACTATGGGCTCCTGTTTCACCGGTAGGATTTCTACACTCTTGGTGATAATGATTCATATGACTCAAAGGACTTGTATGATCCGGATCTCTTCAATGACTAACTCAGAAGACCTTGAGTCCGTAAAAGGATCTGGATTTTCCATCTCTACTCCACATTGCTTTTCTTCCAGACTGCAACGCTGGTCCCGCAAATCAAGCAAGAACGTGATTGGTCGATATTCATTGTGGGGGGAGCAGGGGTGTTAGATAGATATAGAGTTGTAGTAAGTAGATAGAGTTCGCTATGATTTAGGTTTCGTTTATGCATAGGGTAGATTCTTTTAATTACATTTCCTTTATTTTTGGTGTATTTTTTACATTTTGGATTTGCTTGGCGAGCTACTTATTGAGGGCTTGCGACAGCCGTGGCGCCAGGATTTCAATTGTGGGTGGGCCAATCTAATTTCGTCTGGGCCTGTTCCAATAGATGTTTCTCGTTAACAAAAATAAGATAAAAATAAATGCCTGCATATCATTGTAGGCAACTGTGTAATGCATAATCCCTATAGTAAAGACACTTTTTCTAAACCCTTCTCTTTTCAACATTTTCACTTATAAGAAGCTTAAATATTATTTAAATGATTAAGCGGCACGCCGCAATGAGTGAAATTAAATGTTTAACTACTGCATGTTATTTTGTTTTGGTTCACAATACATTGATACGTTTAGAAACAAAGAGCATACAACGGCAGACTATGGAATAATGAGCGAGCACCTGATGTGTGTCTGTGTGGTTAGACTGCAGGCTGATGTACTTTTTAGCGGATCTAGCGAAGTGAGCGGCCGTGCGTAAAAGGCACTGGTTCTCTGACGCGGCACTTTTCAGAGGCTGCAGATTTATCATTAGGCTACTTCCTTCTGATACTGCAGAGCTTTCATAAGCTGAACGTACGTTTCATACTAAAGCAGCTGGGCAGCAGATACTGTTGCTTCACACTCATAAGCTTTGCTGATGTGGGCTGGAGAATGCCTGCCGCGTCAGGGTGCGCTCCGGTAGTTGCAAATGGCACGACATTTTAGCTCTACGTTTCTTAATCATTTCCCTAGATATTTAGTCTCAATATGAAATGAGGAATCTCTTGCTTTGCACACATGAGAATTATGTCCGGTAAAACTCTATGTGTTCCCGATTTTTCTCAATGATCTCTCCCTGTCGGCCCTCTGGATTGAGTAGCTGATGGAGGATGGTTCCATGGTCAGACTTCTCGCACTGTCTGTAGTTTGTATTTCTCTCCATAGCTATTGCATGAGCTGCTCTGCATTCGTGTTTACTGAGAGCATAGTCGATATGTTTCCAGTCCCTGTAACCATGGCGACTGAATGTATCTTCTCCGCCGGCCACGCCTCTCTCACTAAAATGCCGGCACATTTTACAAAACACACTGTCCTTGCTAATGCTATATTCCAATAATGTGTACTTGTCATACCAGTGGGCAGCGAAGCTCCTTTTCCTTTGTCCGAAAAGTGTCTGAGGGTACTTTATGAGCTTTGGCTGTGTAGCCGCCGGGTCATCTATGGCTGATGGGTCCGGCACTGGGATGCTATTTTCTGTAGTCCTTCCAACAGATGCTACGTCCCGCAGAGGGACTGAGCTCAGCGGGGACACAACATTAAACACACTCTCGTCTCTCTTAGGCGGCACCTGCTGTGAGGATGATGAGTGTGGTGGTTCTGGCGGCGGCGACTCTGTTCTTACTCTTTTTAAAAACCTGAACATCGATTGTTGTGACATCGTTAGTGAGTGTGGTATATTTTTTGTGTGTGTGAGTAGTCCACTGTCCACCATCTGCACGCGTCCGCGAGACGTTCTAAGATGTGTTTGCTCGCGCTTCCACTATGAGTTCGGTCCATTTTACGTTAATTCATGTTACTTTTACTAGTTTTTTTAAAGGGATACACATGTTTGCTCTTATTTTATTATGTAATTGTTAGTTTTGATAATCAAAAATAAAAATGTCGGAAGCTATATTTTCGCCCAGTCATTTTTGATCAATGAATGGGTGGGCCCAGTGACAGAGTGGGTGGGCCTGGGCCCAGTAGGCCCACCCATAACGCCGCGGCTGGCTTGCGAGCTACCGGTAGCTCACGATCGACGTGTTGGAGACCCCTGGTTTAGATGAATAGCCTTGTACAACAAGACGGAGGACAGGAGAGTCCGAGTTTCACTCCCAAGTGACTCCATGCCCCTGCAGAGCCCAGTAGAACTGTTCCACCCGGCTTTTCATGCGTCTGCACGTCCTCCAGATCCAGGTCCTTCAGTCACACCTGTCGGAGCGAAACAGTTAGTGACCTGTGTTTGGCTGCCACACATTCTCAACAGGAGCTGAACAGTCCGAGTGTCTCAGTGCGCTGCGAGTAAACTTCAGTTTGCATCAGTTGAACCAAAATACTGAATCATCATAGACCATCTCAGACCAAAGCTCTTCCAAGTCCCATTTAGATCCAATAAGCCAAGGTCATACAATTCCAAGATCACATGGTCCATTTATGATGAGCCAGTGCAGTCCCAGATGTAACCCTTTATAATAAAGCCCAGCAACAATACTGCATTATTACACTCACCCTCATTATAACTCCAGCCTTGGAGTCAGCATCCAGGTTTGTGGTTGAGATGTGGATATGTCCCAGCAACTCCTTCCATCAGTGTGTGGACGAGCTGCAAGGCAACGGGACATCAGTACCAGCACATGGCAAAACAACGAGACGTTTAGAGAACACACCTGATGATGTTAAGCCCATCTACTGCAATCACACCTCAAACGGGTCAGTAGAGGAATGTTACCAGCTCCGACTTCTTTAAGGCCCTACGAAATGCGTTCACTAATCAGAAGCACTCATTATCTCAACATATACAGGGTTCTTACACCTTTTCCAAAGTCAAATTCAAGCACTTTTCAAGCATTTTCAAGGTGCATTTTCAAGCATCTTACAGCTGTTGTAAATTACATATTTATAGACACATACTTATACTCAAATGATTATTTCCCTACCTCACATTAAATCAGATGTTCTTTATGCTATAAACAACCAAATGTGTGTTTCATAATAGCATTCTACATGAGGATGAAAAATTAAAAATGTTAGAAAAGAAAACTAAGTTTAATATTTCAAAATGTGTGACCCATCTGTACGTAGACTGGGCATCCCATATAACCTGGCTGAGCCAATATAAAACAATCAGCCAAATAACTTTTCAATATATTATTGATTACTATTTTTGAGGTACTTTTAGGTTGGCAGTAAACACAAGTCAGAGGTAAATGGTGTACTTTGACTCCACTACATGTATTTAATACCTTTAGTTACTTTACAGATGTGGATGAATGATGTGAAATATAATCAAGTGTTAAATCAGACTTTAGTTCCACCTGGAGTAAATTCACAAGCTACCCTGCAGTATACAAAGTCATTCAAACTAGCTGCACCTTTACCAGCTTTGAGAACACTTTCATGATCAATCATTATAAAACATATCATATACAATTATTAGGGATGCTCCGATCGCCCATTTTGGAGCCGATCGCCGGAATCAGTATCGGCCGATACCGATATCGCTCTCTTTTCCTCTCTCCCCCTCTCTCTCTCTCCTGACAGCCCGTCAGTATCTCCTGCAGCTCACTGATCCAGTAATGAGCGACCCGACAGTGAAGAATAAATATATTTATATCTAGTTTAGCTTGCTCCAGAGGTAGATAAAATAGCTAAGTGTGTTAGGTCTAACTCTTAATGTGTGTTCTGCTCTGCTCACTGGTCCGTCACAGCGGGTGGAGCTGCAGGATTTCTGCTTCACACAGACGTTGCATACCGCTATTTTATTGTCATTTTCGGACACTTAAAATACTGCCAGACTAGTGAAGCCATTTTGGCGAGCTTGTTTTGCCGCGCACAGAGAAAAGTGTCATGTATTTTACATGCAACGATAGCCTAATCTAAAATGCTCTACTACAGCGTACCTTTCGTGTGGTGTGTGGCTCGTCAGCGCAGACTCTCGCATCGTTATTGTTGCACACTTTGCAGGAGGCTACTCTTGGGCTTCGCTTGACCCTCGTCTTAGCCATGGCTTGTATTTGTCTTCTGCTAGCCAACGCTCGTTGAAACGGCAACCTCCTGGCATACTGTCATCTATCACTCTCATCAGAATGCCCAGGTCACACACGTAACAAAAACACTTGCCGGTCACGCGCATAGCGCGGGAAGGCCGGAGCGGAGCTGTTTTATGTAAAAGCGAAGCAATTAAGCGCGCTCAGACTTCTTTATTTTCTTTTAATCTAAAAAGCGAAGTAAAGCATTTACAATTTCAAGCACTTTATCCCAAATTCAAGCACCATTCCCAAAATGCAAGCACTTTTCAAACCTTGAAAACACCTCGTACAATTTCAAGCATTTTCAAGGATTTCCAGCACCCGTACGCACCCTGCATATAAAAACCAATTATACGGCTAAAAGTTAGATAAATATTTGTAATGTGGCTGAGGCAAACCTCAGGTTTCCAGTGAATGTCTGCCACTGTTTAAGTTGCACTGAAATGAGGCAGCACAAATGACAGCCCGAGGCTTCTTAAGTGTGACAGCACTCCAAAAAAGGCAGCATTCATAAGAAACTGCCTTTAATAATCAAACACACGTCTTACGCTTCAGATTTATCTTCATGGTCATTTGGAATAACTCAGTGGTTGTGTAGATAAGGGAAACTAAACAACAACCATGCTTTAAAAAAAGATAGTCCAGCAGTAACAAGTCTACATGATAAGCAGTACGTGGGTTTAACATACTGGTGTGGTTATGTGGTCAGTGCACTGTGAAGACATCTTCATCTTTTGTCAGAGACTCTAGTCTATGAAATCATCATCCCACATAACAGAAGATTAAAGGAAACATGATTTAATAGCACACTTACCTAAGAGAGAGTCTCCAACATCTTGAGAAACCTGGTGATGAGATCAGAGAAAAGTATTAGAACATGTTCTAATGTTTGCACTTTGTTTACAGTTCATATTGGGCATACTCAGTGCACTGTGAAGAAATCTTCATGATTTATCAGAGACTCTAGTCTAGTTGATCATCATTGCAGCCTTTTGGTTCTCATTGCACACCATTGTGCTGCATCCCAACCCAACACTCACCATGTGCTCATGGCTGCAGACTCCCCCCCCCCCCCCCTCAGGTAGGGGGTCAAATGATCTTTCAGAGCATCCACCTTTAGGCAGTGTGACCCTGAAACAGCAGGGAGAGTCATTTCAATCAAATTGTTTCTCAGATTCCTATAAAAAGGCATGCACACTTCTTAAAGTTAAACATTTATAAAGATGCATAAAGATGTTGGCAGCTGTAGTAAACACAGATGCCTGTATCTCAGGTTTTAAATAGAGTTTAATGAAGCAAAGGGGACGTAAACATTTCAAATACACCTTTAATAGTATTTTCAGTAATTTAAAACATTAAGGACATTGTAATTATATCATTTATTTAAATCCCTACGGTCAAATTAACACTCACTTTGTTCAACCATCTTTTAACTTGGTTCTCCTCGAGTTCCTTGGGCACTTGGTTTTCTGCGTAGTGAACTCCGCGCTGGGACTCGTTGTAGATCTAAAGAACAAGGAGCACATGTTGCAGTCAGGTCTCCCTCCATCACAGTAACCAATGGCTGCCACACATTCTCAACAGGAGCTGAACAGTCCGAGTGTCTCAGTGCGCTGCGAGTAAACTTCAGTTTGCATCAGTTGAACCAAAATACTGAATCATCATAGACCATCTCAAACCAAAGCTCTTCCAAGTCCCATTTAGATCCAATAAGCCAAGGTCATACAATTCCAAGATCACATGGTCCATTTATGATGAGCCAGTGCAGTCCCAGATGTAACCCTTTATAATAAAGCCCAGCAACAATACTGCATTATTACACTCACCCTCATTATAACTCCAGCCTTGGAGTCAGCATCCAGGTTTGTGGTTGAGATGTGGATATGTCCCAGCAACTCCTTCCATCAGTGTGTGGACGAGCTGCAAGGCAACGAGACATCAGTACCAGCACATGGCAAAACAACGAGACGTTTAGAGAACACACCTGATGATGTTAAGCCCATCTACTGCAATCACACCTCAAACGGGTCAGTAGAGGAATGTTACCAGCTGTTATGATTCTTTGAAGTCTACATGATAAGCAGTACGTGGGTTTAACATACTGGTGTGGTTATGTGGTCAGTGCACTGTGAAGACATCTTCATCTTTTGTCAGAGACTCTAGTCTATGAAATCATCATCCCACATAACAGAAGATTAAAGGAAACATGATTTAATAGCACACTTACCTAAGAGAGAGTCTCCAACATCTTGAGAAACCTGGTGATGAGATCAGAGAAAAGTATTAGAACATGTTCTAATGTTTGCACTTTGTTTACAGTTCATATTGGGCATACTCAGTGCACTGTGAAGAAATCTTCATGATTTATCAGAGACTCTAGTCTAGTTGATCATCATTGCAGCCTTTTGGTTCTCATTGCACACCATTGTGCTGCATCTCAACCCAACACTCACCATGTGCTCCTGGCTGCAGACTCCCCCCCCCCCTCAGGTAGGACTCAGGTAGGGGGTCAAATGATCTTTCAGAGCATCCACCTTTAGGCAGTGTGATCCTGAAACAGCAGCGAGGGTCATTTCAATCTAATTGTTTCTCAGATTCCTATAAAAGGCATGCACAGTTCTTAAAGTTAAACATGTATACAGATACATCAAGAGGTTCGCATCTGTAGTAAACACAGATGCCTGTATTTCAGTTTTTTTTTTTTTTAAATAGAGTTTAATGAAGCAAAGGGGACGTAAACATTTCAAATACACCTTTTGCATGCAATTTCAGTAATTTAAACATTAAGGACATAATAAATTCAGAGAGCCTTAAAGTAGACTATTTTGAAAGTCACATGTAAATGTGGTGGGGGGCTTGTACTGAGGCCTAACGCCCTGCAGAGGGTGCTAGTGCAGTCTTTACCCGCCAGGAAAACAGTATTAGAAGTTATTTGCAATTACATGTTTTCACTTGTTTTACAATTAATTCAAATTAAATGACTTGCATATAAAAATACAAGCTTGTACAAAATGGGGAACATTGTAATGTTATCATTTGTTTATAGGCCTACCCCTATGGTCAAATGAACACTCACTTTAGTCAACCATCTTTTAACTTGGTTCTCCTCGAGTTCCTTGGGCACTTGGTGTTCTGCGTAGTGAACTCCATGGTGGGACTCATTGTAGATCTAAAGAACAAAGAGCACATGCTGCAGTCAGGTCTCCCGCCATTACAGTTGCCATGTGCTCGGCATGAAGAGCTTCTGCACGCGCTGGTCGCATCTCGCCGATTGATACTACAAAATCCTTTATATACAGTTTGTTACATAAGCCTTAAAAGCACAAGGTCATCAGTGTGCCTTTGGATGAACGAAATGTACTTTAGCTCTCTAGCTATTTTATTCACGCAGTTTAAACCAAAGTATAGCCTCTAGCTGTATGTATTATAAATGATTGGGCTTCTTGTCGGACGTCCACTGACTAACGTAGAGCGTTCACACGGGATCTGCGGGTCATATGATGTCCTGTGAGGAACAGAAACACAAGCAGCCCGCTGGACTCACATCTCTAGATACCTCATTACTCCTCCGGCTCCGATGCTCCGATGCAAGTCCGGTGTAGGTACCATATGTGTTCGGCCTACCAGATGTGTTCGGGGTCCGTTACGCTTACCAATGACGTCACGCATTGGCTGTACCGTAACCCAAGAGGACATTTTACACGGTCAAATTCCGAATGTATTGAAACTCCAGACTCAACGTAAGAGCTTGAGCCTCTTCGGGGGGTGCTAACATTTAAACATACACTTCATTCTTTACTTTGTCCGTTATTATATGTAGAAGATATTACTTTTTTCTCCGTCATGTTGTTTCCATAGCAACAACTTCAAAATAAAAGCATCTAAATAGATTTGTGTTCTACACACCAAAATACGTTATTTGAACACCCCTCTCGATCGATTTACAAGAAAAATTAGTATGGCCCGCCCTAATACACCAACGCAGTTTTTAAAGATATACATTTTTCAACACAGAATCATTTACCAAATTACACCATATCCAATCATTTTACGAGTCAGAAAATGCTATCTGTTCATTGCAGTTATTGTTTATTGAATTAGATTACCATGAGCTCAACATAATTATGTAGAGTACAAGTCCACAGCCAAGAAAATGTTATTTGCATATCATTTTATTTATGAATATGGAATTATGGAATTCTAACACTGGAATTTGTTATTATTTACTATAACTTTATTATATTATTCGGGTACAGCCCTACTGTACCCGAATATCCGAATATTCGTTCGTTGGAGTACTATTCGGGTTTCAATTTCGTTATTCAGATATTCGTTTTGTTTGTTTTTTCCCCGTTTTTTTTTCAAATTGAATTTATTGAAATCTCCAATATCAACGTAAGAGCTTGTGCCTCTTCGGGGGGTGCTAACACTTAACCATAAACGTTATCGTTTACTTTCTCCGTCTTTATATGTAGATATTACTTTTCTCCGTTAATCTCTGTCACGTTGTTTCCAAAGCAACAACAACTTCCTGTCAACTGCGCTAACTCTCCTTCAAAATAAAAGCATGTCCATAAATAGGACATGCCAAATTACACTTAAGACATATACAACTGCAACGAAAGTAACAAACACAATGCGATATCCTTTTCAATTTCAAAGAACACAAATTGGGTTACATTAACAAATAACTATAAAACAACAATACTGTAGAATAACAAAATGAATGCCGTGAATACACCGAAATACACGTGTTGAAGCGGTTCGCTGCTGATTACTACGATTACCGTACAGCTAATCACAATGGGTGACGTCATTGGTAAGCGACGGACCCCGAACACATATGGTAGGGCGAACACATATGGGGTGTTTCTCAATCGCGAGTAAAGCTGCTTCCGAGCCACTATTTCAAGCATACTACGTCATCGAGTGCCGCCGAAGTACTGTTCCAATCTCCAGTATACTTGGAAATCTACCGAGCCCGGCGTACTCCGTTTGGAGAAATATCGAGTGTGCACATGAGTAGACTTCGCGGCCTTAAAATCCCCACAATGCTTTGCGCACGGACCAATTTCCCCAAATCTGTGGCGGAAGATGTAAGGCGGGGCCTCTCATATGACGCACACCTGCACACTTGCTAGCCTGTTCCACTCTTTGTTTTCCGAATGGCAGGAAGTATTCTTGACTCGCTTCTGAAGCAAGATGCTCGGCAGACATGTGCTACCAAGCAAGCGTACTCGCGATTGAGAAACACCCATGGTACTGACACCGGACTGCGGCGGCGGCTTCTTCTTCTTCTTCTTCTTCTCCTCTTTTTAATGGCGGATCGCAAACAGCTTTTGGTTGCATACCGCCACCTACTGTACACGAGTGTGTATCATCATGTCATCCCTCTAATAAACCAGCATATCGAAAACATAAAACTAAGAAACCATAAAATAAAATAAAACAAAACAAAAACAAAAAACAAATCATCCATGATCTATTCTAACCTACTGTTAGATTATTTTCCCTATCCCAGTTTCCCTCAAAACAGTGCCTTTCTGGTAGCTCTTACTCCTTCTCCTTCTGTTCCCAGAATACCAGCTACATTCCACTCCCTCTCTGCCTCTAAAACTTTAGCCCTTCATTTTCCTCTTTCAACTCTATAGGTGACACAATGTAATAAAATATGTTCCACATCTTCTTTAACTCCACAGTTCCCACACTTGTCACTGTCACTTTTCCCCATGACATACAGCGTACCATTCAATGCAGTGTGATTTAGTCTGAGCCTAGCTATCATGATTTCCTCCCTTCTATTTCTTTCTTTATAAATATGAATTGTAATTGTCTTTTGCACTTGATGATACTCTTTGCCTTTCTGGTCTTTCTCCCACCTTTTCTGCCAGATCTCCATCCCTTTCTTCTTAATTACTGCTTTTCCTTCTCCTTCTCCAAGTTGATGTGATTTCCTTTTGTAGTGCACTTTTTGCTAATCTATCAGCACACTCGTTCCCTTTCACCCCCTCATGTGCAGGCACCCAGCAGAACTGCAGATCTATACCGCTTCTGTGAAGTCTTAACAGGCTGTGATTGATTTCTATGAGTATGTCTTCTCTGGCAGTTGTTGTTGACTGTATGCTTTGTAAACTGGATAATGAATCTGTGCACATCACCACCCTATCTGGTCTGACCTCTTCCACCCACTGTAATCCTATTACTACAGCCAGCATTTCTGCTGTATACACTGAAAGTTGGTCTGACGCTCTTTTTGATATCGATATTTTAAATTCTGGGATATATATACCAATTCCGACACACTCTTCCTTGTTCTTAGAACCATCTGTGTATATTTTGAGGTAATTGTGATAATTACTCCTGAGGTACAAACTTGTTTTGAATCCTACTTCACTTATTTGCCACTCTCTTTTCTTTTCTACAATACTCACATCTATATTTACTATTGGAAAAAGCCATGGGGGTACACTACTGAATGGATTTGATGGTGAAAACTCTAACTCATGCATGCCATATGTCCTTATTTTTCCTTTACTTGTCCATCCAAACCCACGCTCCTGAAACTTGGAATATTCCCAGCACTCCTGTAATGTTTTGTTTGTGACATTTCCTTCCCCACTTCCTTTTAACCTGACCCAATAAGCAAGAGCAATTTTCTCTCTTCTTAGCTCCAATGGAGTCTCTCCTGCTTCAACTAATATTGCATTAGTAGGGGTTGACTTAATTGCACCTATACACAACCGTAATGCTTTATATTGTAACCTATCCATTTTTAGTAATGACGTTTTTGCTGCTGCTGCATATATTATACACCCGTAATCCAGAGTTCTCCTCATAATTGCACTATAGATGTCGATTAATGCCTGTTTGTCTGCTCCCCAGTCACATCCAGCCACTGCTCTTAATAGGTTCAACACTTTTTTGGATTTTGTTTCCAAATGTTTAATATGAGTTTTCCATGTACATTTACTATCTAACCATAGCCCCAGATATTTAAATTCATTGACCTCATTCATCGGCTTTCCATATGATGTAAGCTTCTCAGTCTCCATCTTGCATTTATTTGTACATTTCATGAAGCAAGATTTGCTTGCTGACAGCTTGAAACCCCAGTTGTATGACCACTTCTCCACTTTCTTTATAGCTTTCCCTATCTTTTCAAACACATATGGAACATTTCTTCCCCTTATCCATATGTCCCCGTCATCTGCATAGCGCAGATTTTATGCATCCATCCAAATTACTAAAAATGTCATTTCCGCAGGATCCTTCCCTGGTTTATTAAATGGCAATATGACTTCCGTTTTCCAACTCCTTGGTAAAACTCAATTTCTCCAGATTTTATGAAATAGTCTCAGTACTCATTTGAATGTTTCCACAGGTAACTGCTGGAACATGGCATAGCATAACTGACCTTGTCCTGGTGCTGAGTATCCTGTACCTTGTAAAGCTATTTTAAGTTCTGCTATTGAGAAGTCTACATCAAGAGCTGATTTATCATCCCGTCTTTTTTCCCTCACATTTTCATTTTCTCTTAATACACACTCTTTTTGCTGTCTATGTTTGTCATCCAGGTGCTCCCCACTATGCACCGCGGCAAATGCCCTACCTAAACATTCTGCCTTCTCTTCATTTGAAACTGCCACTTTATCCCCATCAATCAAAGCGGGAATTTTAACCGACTTCCTTTTCCCATTCATCTGTTTAAACAAAGACCATACATCCAGAGAGATGGTCATTGATTTCAGGAGGAAGAGGACATCTCCTCCTCTGCCCCTGTGCATTCTGGGAGAGGATGTGGCAGTTGTGGAGGTCTACAAGTACCTGGGAGTGCACTTAGACAATGGGCTGAACTGGAGGATCAACACTGACGCTGTGTACAAGAAGGGGATGAGCCGACTCTATTTTCTGAGGAAGCTGAGATCCTTCAACGTATGCAGTAAGATGCTGGAGATCTTCTATCAGTCTGTTGTGGCTAGTGCACTCTTCTTTGCTGCGGTCTGCTGGGGGGGCAGCATCAGAGCCGGTGACACCAGCAGGATCAATAAACTGATCAGGAAAGCTGGGTCAGTCATCGGCATCAAGCTAGACCCCTTTGAAGCTGTGGTGGAGAGGAGGACACTGAACAGGCTGTTGTCCATCATGGATAACCCCACCCATCCTCTCCACCTGCAGCTGGACAGTCAACGGAGCTCCTTCTCCAACAGAATGCTGCAGCTCCCCTGTCACAAGGACAGATACTGGAAAACATTCCTGCCCACTGCAATAACACTGTACAATAAATCACCTCTGGCTGGAAGAGAACTCTCTGCTCCATAGTTTCTCTAGAAATAAAACCACCTTGTATATTTTACTCACACATAATCTGTTTCATATTTAATACTCCATAATTCCATATATTTTGAATATATATATATTTGTATATATATATATATATATATAATATCTGTATGTATATTTTCTATTTTCTATTTTGACATGTATATTTTATATTTTATTTTATATTTTATTTTATTTTATTTCTATTCTTGTATATTTTGTTTTATTGTAAAATGCCTTTTATGCTGCTGTAACAAAAACAATTTCCCAATTTGGGATCAATAAAGTACGATCTATCTATCTATCTATCCCCTAACTTTACTCCTCTTCCAATGGTGG